CCCTCCCTGTTGTTGCGAGCTCCACGACCAGCGCGAGCTCCACGGCCGCGTCCAGCTCCACCCCGTCTGCTGTCGCTAAAGTGAAAGTCGATGCCAACCACGCGCTTTTGTCTGCCCACGCGTTGCGGGTATTCAGATGTATCATATTCTTCGTCATCAGTTTCCTACAACAAAAGAAATAACCAACGCTTAGAAATTGTACCAATCGCAATTCATACGCTACATCTACCGCTACACATTTCAAAGGCCAACCAATAGCATATGTGTATCTTTGAAACATCATTGCAAGTAATATTCGAATCTTACCTCTTCTTCGCCATCCTTCTTCTTGCTGAGTTCATACATCTTCTTCCATTGGCTAGGATCCTCACCCTCGCCGGCCTTGCGCAAATTGTATGTAGGCTTTTGACGTCCAGCACGCTGTGCTTTCCATTCATCCAGAGTCAATTCTTTTGGTTCTTCCTCAACAGGTACATTCTCAGTTTCGTTTTCAGTTTCCCTAAACAAAAATAATATAAATAAATCAAATAAAAACATTTTCCGAGAAATAATTACTTTTGTTCAGCATTGATGGATGTTTCGGCCTTTTCATTTTCGCTCCAGACTTGTTCGGTTTCAGTAGATTTGTTAGCATCAGCTTCCCTGAAAAAAAAAAAGAAAAAAAATTAGAAATGCGTCATTGAGAGCGCGGGGTCCGAGGACTTACTCAATGACGTCCTTATGAGATCCCCAGTTGTGGGCACCACCACCATCTCTCTTATCAATTGGTTTGACTCCTCTGTAACCATGCCTGCTTTCATTATTTGAGTAAGGAGCAAAATAACCCACAGACACAATTAGTTTAAACAACCCAACATAACAAGAGAAGAAGAATAGAGAATAAAAGAAGAAGAAGAAGAAAGATGCTTGCTAAGAGCGTTGATGATGGTATTCACTTACGTTTTATCAGATCCGCTTTGCCTCTCGAATTCACGCTTGCCTCGTCTCGGCGCAACGCCGCCACGACCGGCGGTTTTGCTACCTACAGCGCGTCCTCTCCTATTGTCGAAGTCGCCCTCCCTTCTTGGTCTGTCCTCACTGCAAGATAAGGAAGAGAAAGAATTAGCATCATCGACTTTGGTTCATCATGGAGGAAAAGCACATGGCCGGTCCAGTCACATGGCGAAACAACCATGGCTGACAAAATATATATATATATACGCACCGATTGTTTTCGAAATTTCCATTGAAAGGCCTGTCCTCGCGGTTGCGTCTATTGTTCCTCTCCTCTCGGTTCTCATTGTTGAATTTATTAAATGTCTTTTCAGTTTTGTTGTCAGTGGATCGTTGATGATTGAGCTTGCCGTCTGTAATGGAGGAAGTAGTCGATTAGGGTTGAATAGAATGGAACATTGAGATGGTTAGTGATGAATAGCTATGATGATTAAGTAAGGACGCAATGAGCACATGTGCCCGAATGCCGCTTTCAAGAATGGCCGTCGAGGTCGCGGTTCCTCATATTATTTCTTTTTTTTTTCGGGTTCCTGTAATGCCGCGCTTGGGATTCGGGGCTGCAAATTCTCACCTTCACGCTTGTTGTCCTGGGCCTTGTGGGGCACGTCCTTGATGATCTTCTTCGGTGGCTGCGTGGGTTTACCCTTGGCAGGCGCCTCCGGCTTCCCCTTGTTTTCCTTTTCGACCACTTTGGTTTTCCTTTTCAGCTCCTTCTCCTGCTCCTTTATCTGGAGAGTTTCCAGCGGATCCGTCTCGTTGTCCAGAAAAAGGCTATACCTATTGGCCGTACCGATTCCATATACGTTTTCCATGATGAACAATCACGGTTTAACTCTTCGCAACTAGACGATGTTGGAAGATTTCTTTATGGCTACGCTTTAGCCCTATGTTTTCACGCACTCATTCACAGCAATATGGCCGGCTCCGTGTGCCGCACGAGGGTTATCCCTAGCGCACGGCGCTCCGCGCAAATCCAACGGGGCGCATGCTCGGGGCGCCTGAAATAAATGCGCAACTGCGTGTTCCTGCCGCCCCCGGGTCGTTCAACAAGGGAACATAGGAAACACGTGAAAAAGCAACAAAAAAAGAAGAAGAAGAAGTAGTAGAAGTAGAGGGAAACCGGCACCTCGGGCCCCCTTTTTGTGCCGCCATAGCGCGCTGATCACGACCAGGGGGAATAAAAAGAAAGGAACAAAACCGTTACAAACGGCTTGGCTCGATCGATGCTTCTTTTTTTTCTTCAAAAAATACACGAATTTCATCCTTACATAACCGATAAGGCTAGAAGCAACCTCCGCAAAATCGTGTCGGAGCGCGGCTAAATTTAGCGGTCGCCGTATATTTTTAGAAACAATTTCCCGATATCGAAGGAATTCTGTGACTGGGTTGGTTATGTAGTAAAAACAGATTTTGCATAGTTAACAAAATTTAATTGCGATAAATATTTGTTATTTACAGTTCAATTTATTTGTTTCTTTCGCCTACGCCATACAAAATACGATGTATACATTATATATTTCATTCTTACTACCACAATTATTCAACTTATATGCGTATGTAAACGCATGTATTTTTCATACCGCTTCTGTCATCATACCGAACATATTTTTATATAAACGAACAATATGGACAAATATATTTAATTCGATTTCTTTATAAACAACACATCGTGACCACATTGCTTACATCATAGAAACGATACACAAAATTCCTCTAATATGGCCAAGCTTCGCAAACATCCTATTTACAACTCATACAATATTTGCACTTAAATCTACTAAAGTAATATAAACTTAAAATACTTCCAAAGACAAATAATATTAAAAAAAAAAAAAACAAGAAACAGATATACTTCCTCATTATTATTAGAAAATAAAGTACAAGTTAAATAAAATGATACATTTGCATTCAAATGATTGGAAAACGGAATCATATATGAAAAAAACATTTGCAAAATTCTCATTATAATTAAAATTATTATTATTGTTTGTTTACAATTTATAAGCAATGTATATTCATAATCTTTATTATATAATATATTTATATATATATATATATATATGTATATATATATTCTTCAAATTATGGGTAAAATAGATAGGGAAAAAAAATAGGAGAAATAATGAATAAAATTAAGAAGAACGTTAAAGATCCCATTATCCTACAAAACACAAATAATAATTAGATATTCTTTTGAATCCAATTAGTATAAACATGATAATATACATAGCAGAAGAAAAAAAAAACAACTGTTCTCTCTTATTTACAGTAAAAACCATTAAAAAATTTTAGTTTCGTTTGCATAAAAAACATATACATAACAGCTGTAAATCAATGATTACAATCTATTTGTGATTATTGAATATTTATAAACAATGTGGTCACAAATTTGTACTAGGACTATACTCATCGTAACAAGTGTATTTATTTAAGCACCGCAATGCATATATAATATAAAATATAATTTGAGAACTGTCAATATAATAGAATATAATCTTTTTAAAAAAATGTGACATAAAATCTAATTTTAAAATTATATAGGAGCCTTCAATATTCCTTCAATGTTATGTGATTCAAATTGTTGTTTTTTTATATCTCCATTATTAAATTATTTTGTGTAAAGCTATCACACTTTACACACTGTTTTCTTTCATCTCTCTCTTTATACATATATTTTTAAATATATATATGTGAAATGTAATAACAAAATACTTTAATTATAGTAAAATAATCATGTTCACCTTTTTTTTTAGTGTTTATTCATATGTGTTTGTTGCAAGTTGCTTTCTGTGATCAAAAACTAATAGACGTTTTGATTTGCATTCGATTTTTCGACTTGATTTTTTTTTTGCCATTTCATAAATTAGTGTATTCATGTTCTAGATTATATCGATTATATCAGCGCTAACTAACTCTCATGTTTTCTTTAAAATTTATATAATGCTTTTCGATTCTCCTTAAAAATTGTCCATTTAGTCTAAACATTGAACACAACAATCACTCAAGTAATTCCTATATATCATCCTTGTCAGTAGTTTTCACCTTTTTCACTACATTCGTGGGGGTGGTTCCCTCTGGTCCACGTTTAGCAACCTTGTTGGCATAAGGATCTGCGAAGGAGAACAACAAAACAGAATCGATATTAGAATTGACTGACGATCTTTCACAAATTCATTTTTTTGTGCATACCTTGTAACCACCTCACTTGAGTTGCAGGTCCATAACCCTTATCGTTTCTTGCAGCTATGCGAAATATTATAGCAGATTTGGTGGTGGTATCCACGTGGGCTGCAGACAAAGAAGATGTTGGTACTGTGCAGGAATTGCTGGGTCCACAATACACTCGCACAAAAGCTAAATTTGTACTACGTTCCTGCAAACAACGATAACGGGAAGATAAGAATTATTTAGTTTGGCAAAAGCATTTGCAATTTTTACCTTTGCCGCGTTCCTTACGGCTAAGTAAACGGAATACTCGAGGATATTTTCTTGGTTGACACACGGGGGCTCCCATGACAAATGGGCACCATCGAACGACTTTGCTATCTTGATAGCCGAAGGTGCACCTGGGAATCCCGGAAGGCACGTTTTGAATGCTGACACCTACAGATAAAATGCAACATTTGAGTAAAGCTGTGAAGCATGGACACCAAACTCGAATAAATGAACAACTAAAGTAATACAAAAAATACGTTACACATGAATATGAGCACACAGCAGTTATATATAAATATATGCAAATGTCTGCAAATATATATAAATATATATGTATTAGTAGCATGTATAAGATCTTAGCACTAAATTGTTGTTAGTAATTGCATTTTATATTATCTACATTTCTAGGAATACGTACTTCACTCCAGTCACCCAATCCCACTGAATTGAGAGCCGCGACCCTAAATTTGTACGCTGTACCAGGTTCAAGATTAAGTTTCGGCAGATGCGACACTTCAGGTAAATTATCTTCTTTAAAGTTACTGACGTCATCTTCTAACATAAAGAAGTCGTGAACATCGTAACTGGTACCTTTAATAAACCCAACTGTATACCATTCTTTGGAATCCTTAGAAGGTGCTGATGGTGGCTCAGTCTTAATAATATCTTTCGAATGGCCGACAGCGGCCGAAGCCAACGCAGATAAAGCGTCTCCAGTTTCCTCCCTCTTAATTTCCGGCTTGGAGTCGACGCTATCATCGTCGTTATGCATATCTTCCAAATTAATATCTTTGTCTCCTCTAGTCATATCTTTGGATTCGTCGCTAGTACTAAATCCGTCAGTTTTATCACTCTGCATCGAAGAATCATCATCGTCCATTTCAATTTTAAAGTCTTCCATATTATCACATTCCGAATCGTTTTGAATCTTTCGCTCTGTGCCATTAATGGCAGACGCCTGGCTTCCTAAGCCACTGTCGCTGATAGAGTCAGATTCGTTGCTTTCCTCTCCCTTACCGAGAGCCTCCTTAGTTCCACCCTTGAGGCCACCCCTGTACGTGAAAGGTCTGTATGGTGGTGGAAGAATAGTCTTGTATTTGTATTGAATGTTATCATAACAGTGGACAGTACCGCCCTTTAAACCTAGCTTTTTATACTGTGGGTTACCGCCGTACAGGCCACCAACAGTCGCTGTCGCGTCTGTTTCCATGGGTACGGGTTCCTTTTTGTCTTCAGAATCGATGGTCGCGACATTCTTGTCATCAATGTGCGCAGACTCTGCGTCTTCGGTATCCATACTCTTTTGTGGCTCTGGATCAATCAGTCCTGCTTCCGCAGCAAGAGCTGCTAATGCCGCGTCAGTTGTTGCTGGACCGTCGAATGATGTCGAAGCTTATGTAATTAAAAGTTTACTTTTAGCATATTTAATAATCACTAATTCTCGTTGTTTATTATATATACAGACTGGACCTTTTTTTTTGCATCATTAAATAAATCCTCGCATATTGTAGATTGACATAAACATAATTATGTGCACATCAACTATAATATATAATAAATAAACATCAAGAATATCCAAGCTGTGCAATAAAAGTGTCTTACAGCCTGTATATTGTAAAACATCAAGTAAAGTACGTAAGTTATAATTAGACATTGTTAGTTACCAAGAGTAGCGGACGGCTGTTTCGGTCTTGTCACGACCATCACCTTCGGCTGCTCGACCGCCGACGAATTGGTTGTGGTTGCCGCTGTCGCCGTGGCTGCAGGAAGACGCAGAATCTTGCCCTGAGGTGGGGTTGACATGAACGTTACCGTTTTCCTGTTTCCGTCGGCTAACTGAACTGTCACAGGTTTACCGCCAAACATAACTTGTTTCTGAGAAGGAAGAGGAAACATCTTTATTTTCATACATCCTGTTTTACAAAGTTGAAGTGTTGCTTACTGTATTTTTAGAAATAGTTATTGTTTTTGGCATGATTATGGGTTTGCCACCGATTTTCATATTTGATAAATTGGCCACTGCTGCTTTAGTAGCGGATTGTACGTTCACAGTTGAAGTCTTCGGCTGAGATACGGTCACTGCCTGGGCATTCGTAATCGTTTGTATGTTGCGAATGCCGGCATTTGAACTTACGACTATCACCTGCTGATTACCGATGGTAGATATTTGCCCAGACGAGTTTTTTTGAAGTACAATCTTATTTTGCTTATTGACCAACATGTTCGAAGAAATTGATTTCACCGTACTAAGGACCTTACTAGTATTTGGCGGTACCAACTTCACAATCGTGTTGCTGCCTCCAGTAGTCTGTAGTACTGGCGATTGAATTATGCCACCAGATTTAGGTAAAGTTGCGACCGTCATCCCCGTGCTTGTCTTCACCAAGGTCACTATCTGAGGTTGCGCTCCGGTCTTCTGGACGAGCCCTGCGCTTCCTTTCTGGACAATTACTTGCTTACCAGCGACGGCGACTTGAGGGGAGCCCTGACGTATAACCGTCCCAGTACCTTGAATTTTTACATTACTACCACCTAAATTCAAAATCGAATAACAAAAAATAAATTACTTCTGTTTGTATTTTGCTAAACATTACCCAATTTGATTTGCTGCGCAGAAGCCACTGTTATTTTTTGGGTAGCAGCGGCTGCTGCTGCTAGCGCTTGAATACCAGACATACTTGTTGTCGGTGCGGTCTTGGTCACAGCAACAGCCGCGTTTTGTTCAACAGTGGCTACTGCGCTTGTCGAAACGGCAGTAGCTAATATTGATGTGGGATTGGTCATCACAGTGGATGTGTTCAAGGCTGGTACTGCCACAACGGCTGGAGAATTGCTAATTCCTCCTCCTACTCCAGTGACGACGGTTGTGGTGGCTGTTACTGTTGAATTTGTTATTTTTGTTGAAGCAGTTCGTACTAAAGCAGAATAAGTAGATTGTAGATTCATTAAATATATAACATTTATTTCGTTTATTTACCTCTGACGAGCGGACTCATCACCTTTGCTGTGTTGAGCGGAGAGCCAATTGCTTTCGCTGCAGCGCCAGTTGGCAATGTTCCCGCCTTAGGGGACATTGCGTGTTTTATTATACTCGAATTTGGTATATTTTTCGGAACCAGGCCTGCCGATGACGGTAGGTCATATTTTTGAATTTGCAATATGTAAGTGTTCGTCGATGGTGAACCAGTCCAATTAACTTCTAAAGAATTAGTACCGGCCTTTATGAGACTCACTCTACCAGGTTGAGGTGGTTTATCAACTTCTAGATACCATAGGTCTTTGCAACAAACTTGATTATTCCAGGCCTTTCTGTACCCATCACGTCCAGACCAAACGTATAGTCTGGTGTTTATACCAACAGCGCAGTGGCCAGCTCTGGCGCAAGGATAAATGGACTCAAAAGATCCGATTAACAGATCGTCCCAGTGGAAAGTTTCTAGATTCAGGCAAGCCATGGTGCCAGTGCACTTCCATTCCTTTTCGTTTGGGGACGTCTTGGTATCCTCCGCAACTACCGGAACCCAGCCACCAAACACATACATCCTGTTTCCAATTAATGTCGATGTGTGCAAAGATCTGGGCAGTGGAGTTGTACCAGAAATACTGGGTTTACTCCAGCATAGTGTGTTCGTTTCCAAGAACCATAGATCGCCAAGACGGCATCCGCTCATACCACCATATATAACCAAATAAGACTTGTCATTTGTTTTATCAATGTAAGCCACTCCAGTATGAGACTCTCTAGCAGGAGGACATGGTCCATTAGTACAAGGTATCTCCCACTGAACAGGGTTACTTCGAATATCCAATGCGTATAAGTCATTTAGATACCTTGGAATATTATTCTTAGGATCCTCACTCTCATTGGCCAGACCCCCAAACAGAAATACCTTATCATTAACTAATGTGAAACTATGACCCAATCTAGCACAAGGAGCTAATCCTGATTTTGGAGCCTTTGGTTTTAATTTCTTCCACTCCCACCTTGAAGCCTATCAATGGAAATATAACAAATCAATTATTCAGTCTTTGCATTGCTCTAAGAGTTGCTCACCTGTAGTTCATAAAGTTCACTACTGTATTTACCATACTCAACCATTCCACCAAAAATTAACAGCCGAGTTCCATCTACCACAAAGCCATAAGCAGCACATCCTGGTGGAATATCTCCTTTCAAGACTGGTACAAACCATTGATTTGTTGCTAGAAGGGATGTTGAGTTAATAAGGATATGTCAAATTAATGAAGTGAAGATGTGTGAATATGTCAAATATGTTTGTTATGGTAACAATTGTTTGTTTATATGGCGCGCGATCGTTGTAGCATGCATTATTTGTAGATGTTGGTGTTGTTGTCATGGATCCAGCCCAAAACCAACATCTTGAACGGCAGTAGCACCGATACAAATAAAACTGCTTATTCTAGATTGCGATTGTCAGTTATCGGCGGTACACTTTGTATACACGCCGCCATCTTGGATTCGATGAAAACGTAAATAAATAAGATCGTCGGACGCTCGGAGTACAATAAGAACCTATTGGATGAATGGGAATCGATCATAAGTGTCTCCCCTGAACCGGTGGCGTCTTCGCGATTCGCGTTTGGAGCCGAAATGGTATAAATAACAACATCCGCGCGCCATATTTAATGGCTGCAAGCCAGCCGAGTATAAATACCTGTATTGTAAACGTGGAGTTCATCCACGATTCCTTCGTTTCCACCACCAAATACAACCATTAACTCCTTTATAGCAACAGCGCGATGCCCATGTCTCGGTCTAGGTTGTGGTCCCGTAGGATCGGACACCAATTTCCACCTTAAGACCTTACCCGCCATTATGTGATCACATTGCACTCAAACTACCACGCCAATGGAAATCGTGCTTGACAATTTCAAACCGCTAACCTCACTCTTAGTCCCACTAGTGAAACTCGTTAAATGCACCAGAAAAACACGAGATATGGCACCGGCCCCTACACTTCTTACAATTCCGGCACAAAGCTTACCATATTTCCACCCTAATAACTTCGTATTAGCCCCCAAAGTTCAATTATTTAATCTAACAAACATCTAGAAACATCAACTCCTGATTGTTTCTCAAGATGGACGATCTAACTTGACATACGATTGGTCAAATTGCTTCTGAAGCTCCCCTACCGTCGAATAGCCTAACTACCTTTCCCGCTTTCTTATTTGAATGACAACGCAGGGGATGTTCAGGACCTGCTCCCTCTGTGACCAAACCACATTTATCTACCCTCCGCATGTTAACCATGCGTACTCCCAATGATGCCAACATTTGTTACATTAAACATCTGGACCAAATCAACTTTAAACCACATGCAATCATCTAAAATCTATACATAACTTTCAATACATAGTTTCTTATTTTATCTGATTCTCTAATTCCATTAAAACGTTATTTAAACATAATCATTTAACATAACTTACATTTAATGAGAAACTTTCACATTCAAATTAATTTGTAATAAATTATAATACAGTTAAAACAAAAACAATATTCATGCATAACGACCAGTAAATAAATAGATAATTTAATATATATTCTATATTAATCATCACTAATAATTCCAATTTTCTTATAAGAATTAAAAGTAATTACAGTTATTCTCCATTTATATTTGATATATTTAGAACGATTTTGATAGAAGATATTTTGAACAATTGTTGGTTATTAAACCATAGTTAACGAAGATTGGTTTTTAACGAGAATCTATTACATTCAAATCAATGCTAATTGAAATTTTTACTATTTTGGCAAATTTTCTAAATTGTTAAATTACGTATTTGCAATGCATGTCGTGATAGCGAACATTTCTTGTAAATATTTGTCAAATGATTACGAGCAGTTTTATCTTAGTCTTATCGGAATAATGGCTAATCATACATTTTATAGCTTTTTATAAATAATATTCTTTTCTTTTGTGATTGCTTTAAAAAAAATTTAAATTATAATTTTCAAAATTAACCATTTGCGAACTGGAGATACAAAAAAAAAACAAGCGAATTATCGTTATCATCATATATTTTATTAACTATATAAATAACATATAATCTATTTTGCATATCAGTTGGATTATACAAGGTTAGGCTTAGGGAATGTTACTTTTGATGTCTTGCATCAGCGACTTGGGGAAGACTATCTTCGAGAATATGCTCTGGTGCGAGCTTGTGGATTTCTGCTTGATCACGTAATTGACCTTATCTCTGAGCTCGGACTTTGGGATGTCTCCTCGCAGATACAGGAGCCTGCTGAGATGATCCTCACTGATATCAGGATACTTTTCGACAAGCCTATGAAGATCCAACGAAAGCATATCGTCTTCGCTCTTAAACACCTCTGCCAACATTCCAATTATGTCCAATGGGTTATCACTGGGTTTCATATTCGGTGCGATCGAGAAGAACAATGATTTCAGCTTGTTCGCCTCTTTTGTGATCTGATTAGCGGCTGCCAGACAATCCTGGTACGTTTTGAAAACAATCTTCTTTTGAAGCATGCTGACAATATATCGTTTCGTAACTAGATTACGAGCTTCATTCATTATATACTCGAAGTTCTCATCCACCAATCTGTTGTAGTCCTGGAAGTAATCTTCCAATGTTGCACTGATTGTTTCTAATGGGAGACTCTCGTTCAACCATCGCGACGTGAACAGCTCATCGTAGTGCTTATCCAAATCCAAGAACGCCTCCTCCAGTAAATAGAAGCATGATTGGTTTCGTAAATTCTGAAACAAATTTGTTGTATCAAAACACGCAATTATTATGTTTCGAACAACTTACAATATAGATCTTTTTGTAATTGCTTTTCTTTATCTCTAATTCCATGGAATGACCTGTACTATATTTATCTATAAATTGCAAACCCAATTCCACCAATTGAATGCAGTTGTTCACGGTAGCAATCATGTATTGCGTGAAGTACGGTACTTGACTTCTGTCTTCAAAGTGTTTGTTCTTGAAATCAGAGATAGCCTCGCGATACATTTTGGCGTAGTTTTCAACATGTTTAATACTCAAAAATAAAGCTTCATTCGTTAATTCTAGATTAATAGTTTTGGTTACGTCTAAATTCTGCCCGATCATTTCGAACACTATAGAAGGTCCGGCCGTTCTTAGAACCATTTCCGATCTAGGCGGATTACTTGACCTCCACTCGTTCTTTTCGGTTTCCAATGTTTTCTGAAGCCACTCGATATAGTTGTTCTCCATATTCTAAAATCAAATATAAATAATTATCATTTGGCAACTGGCAAATATTGATATATTACAAATAGATATTTCTTTTGTAAATTGTTCAATGTATCCATATTCAGAAGCGGACCCAAATTTTGCGTATGCTCAATTAAATCAGGATGCCCCATAAGTTCAGGTCCTTTGTAAGTATTCATTGTCCAAGAAAGGACAGATACATATTCATTACCTTCCAAACCATTTTCTATAATAATATTCAGCTGAAGAACGAGAATTACTTTCAAATAATTATTACACTTTCATAGTAATTGATTTACCTGATTTGATAAGCAATTGTTATACATTTCTATATACCTATCAATAATATTGTATTCTTTGGGAACGCATGGTACGCACAAGGTCTTTACTACCCTCAAATCTTCAAGGATGAGCAATCGAATTAGTTCCAAATACCTAATCAACCATAACTTATTATCCTCCCTTCCTTCAATTTGCGTTCCCTCTATTCTTGTAGCGACGGCCTTCTCCAGAACCTCGAAGCACATATCCTTCCACTTCTTCGGCCTACCTGGAGCCATGAAACCTGTGTTCTTTGCATATTTCAAAGCTTCCTCATCAGCCTTTTCTTCCCGTTTTATAATTCTGAATGCGGTCACGATTACTGTAGGCTTCTTACGAACGGCGTTCAAAGTTTGACTCAAATTTAAACGTAATTGTTTTTCTAATAATTTTGATAGGGTTTCAACTTCTGAGAAGTAAGCTTTGAGCATTACAGTGTCATGAGGTGATTGATTAGGAAGTTTATGAAGCTCAAAGAGCAATTCATCTCTGGAATTCTCTAAATCCCTTAAACACTAAAAATATATAAGAAATACATATTGATTAAAAAGTATTAGGATTTAGATAAAATTAAGTACTTGATGTGTATGAAGCAGTTTGCCTTCATTGATCCATTGCTTAGTCTTCTCTACACTCTCTGGGATTTGGAAGATATTTTTTAGGTTCTCCCTAGCAGTTACATACTGGGAGTGTCTCATATTCTCTTCACGGACATCACTCAACTTATTGTGTAAGTCAGGGACAGCAGTAAATAGCTGATTCATTTGCTTTAATCTAAACAGACAACAAAGAATAAAGTTGCAATAGAAAGTATTAAAAACAAAACTCACATCTTCTCAACATCTTTCATATCTTGTGAACTACTCTTTAATAGCTGAAGTCCATCCCTGAAACCATTTAGCTGACTTTGCATGGCAGATTTCAGCAGGGCCTCAGCAGAAGCTTTCTTCCTTATATATTGTTGCTTATAAGACTCCACCTTTTCCAGTTGGCCTGGTCTTTGCAACATGTTCATCACATTTGTGATTGCAACCTGCACCTGTTGTGTTTCCAACTCTTTCATATTTAACTTCCTATATTCTGAAATAAAAGATTTTATTAAATATTATTGTGAAATTCAATCTGTTTGATGATACTCACCGCCTTTCATTATGTTTGTTTTCCTTTTGACAAACGTCAAATTGTATAGGTTATGGCTAGGATTTCATGAATTTAATTATACTGGATTAAATAAACAAACTTCGTATAAATATTAGGATATATCACGTATTTTCTACTTTTATCAGATATTTTATATAATGAGATTGTTGAGTTATCAGTTATATATGATTACGAGAAAAAAAAATATAATCTTGGACTTTGACCTCATTTGATGTAAATTGAGGTAAATCATGTATTTACTGCTCAGCACTGCTCAGTGAGTGTTCCACTTTGGTCGTAGTATAGTGTTATTTGTAGTATTTAGTAGTTGTTTATTGAATATGTTACTAAATCAAGTGAAGACTATATCAAAAAAGAGTATAACTCAGCAACTTATAAGACATAAACATGATTATCAATATTTGCAAAACAGTAAGATACCTACAATGCACTTCCAGAAGTCTTTACCCAGATTACCAATTCCAAAGTTGGAAGAAACTTGTGCTAGGTATTTGGCTGCCCAGAAACCTATCCTACCAGATAAAGTGTTTGATAATACACAAGCAACTGTGAAGAAGTTTCAAGAGACAGTTGGAAAACATTTGCAGGAGCAATTGATTAATTGGGATAAAACAAACAAACACACAAGTTACATTACTGAATATTGGTTTGATATGTATTTGAAAGACAGGAAACCAATTCCAATTAATTATAATCCAGTATTAGTTTTTCAAAATGATAGCAGACCAGAATATAATGATCAAGCTGTGAGAACAACAAATTTATTAATTAGTTCTTTGAGATTCTACAAATCTTTGAAAAAACAAATTTTGGATCCTGAGGTTTTCCATATGAATCCAAAAAAGAGTGACACTCCTGCTTTTAAAAACATTTGCTCTATGGTGCCTTCAGCTGTATCTTGGTATGCAGCATACATGTTCAATGCTTATCCCTTAGATATGAGCCAATACAACAAACTTTTTAACACTACTAGGATACCACAAATGGATAAAGACAAAATAGTTTCTGAACCTGCTAGACATATCTGTGTGCAATATAAGGGAAACTTCTACACATTTGATGTTCTAGATGAGTCTGACAATATTTTACCACCTGGTGATATTAAAGCAGGGATTGTTAACATACTTAATTCTGATGCAAAATCAGCCGAATTTCCTCTTGGTATACTAACAACAATGGACAGAAATAAGTGGGCCAAAAGTCGAAATAATCTTGTTAATTTGGGCAATGAACAAGCCCTTAAAAAAATCGATTCTGCTTTATTCAACATTTGCCTTGATGATGACATCATTGGTGATGATAAATATGCTTTAGTAAGGAGCTCTTTGCATGGTGATGGCAAAAATAGGTAAATTCTTCTTTAAAAAAAAAAAATTTTAAATAATAAAATTAATGGGATATATTCAAGATGGTTTGATAAAACAATCTCATTGCTAGTTACTAAAGATGGTTTTTCATCCATAAACTTTGAGCATTCTTGGGGAGATGGTGTAGCAGTTTTGAGATTTTTCCAAGATATTCTCAAAGATTCTACTGAGCATCCAGAGGTCAACAAAGAAACCAAATTGGGATTAACAGCTGTCAACAAAATAGGTAATTTGTGGATTCGAATTCAAAGGACAAATTTAATAGTTAAGTTACAGAATTTAATATTGATGATTCTCTAAAGCAGGACGTATCTACTGCAATTTCTGAATACTCGGAGGTAACGAAATCTCTGGACGTGAATTTCGTCGAATCCGAGGGTCTTGGAAAGGTGTTTTGCAAGAAATATTCTGTAAGTCCAGATGCTATCATGCAGCTGTGCTTCCAATCAGCTTATCATAAGCAGACTGGAAGATTCGTGGCTAGCTATGAATCGTGTAGCACAGCGGCTTTCAAGCATGGTAGAACCGAAACGATCAGACCAAATACTTCGGAAACGAAAGTGAGTATGAAGTGCTTTACTGTTCAATACATTACATGGATTTCGTTGGCAGGAATTCTGTTTGGCTATCAATTCGGCAAACAGGCCTTCCAATTCGGAATTGGTTGACTTGATAAAGCGGTGCTCAAAAGTTCACGGGCAATTAACGAAGGAGGCGGCGATGGGACAGGGATTTGATAGGCACCTGTTTGCACTGAAAATGTTCTCCGGGAAGGTCGACTTGTCCAATGCCAACATCTTCGAGGATCCCGCTTACGGTTTAATAAACCACAACATCTTATCGACAAGTACTTTATCGTCACCTGCAGTCTTAGCCGGTGGTTTCGGACCTGTGGTTAGGGATGGCCTAGGTATTGGTTACGTGATACGCGATAATGCTATGGGAACTTTGGCCACTAGCTATCCGGGAGTCAATGGTAGAGATTTCATAAGCTGTTTGGAAAAGTCTATTGAGGAGGTGGTAAATGTGTTGGGCTCAGCAGAATAACGCACTTACGTATTTTGTAATTTGTGGGAATGAAGGTCACGTGTTTGCATTTTTTTATTTAGATTAATTGTTTTATACACATCTTCTTTGAATAAAGAATTTATATATATATATAATATAGTTTAAACTAAATCAACGAAAACAAAAAAAAAACGTACACACACCAACACCTTCTAACTATACAAATTAAAATTAATAATATACATTTATACTACATCTTTGACTATAGCTATACTTCAGAGATGAGCTATGACTGCTCTAAACAATAGCCATTAAACAGTTATATATTTTTTACTTTTTTCAATGAACTTATTGAAGGATAGGTATGTATATTTACAACAAACAAATAAATGAGTTATCTTACAGGATGATTTAATGTAGCTTATCACCCATGGATACTTTTGAAACCTGCAACAGGATTATAAAGTTCACGACCTCGTCTACAAACTCCCTATAACGACTGAATTAGCTTACCATATAAATTCCAACAATTAATCCAAATAGACCAATTGCACTACCGAAAATTTCAACGATTAAAATTTTCACGAAAAGAGCCGAATTGGCGGCATCAGCCAAAGCAGCACCAGATCCAACAATGCCAACGGCAATTCCGCAGAAGAGATTTACAAATCCAACAGCTATGCCAGCGCCAAACATTAGATACCCTGCCATCCAATTCTTGCCGCGGATCAAATCGGAATCATTCACAACTTTCATTGTGAAATCCTAGTCAATCAAAAGCAATCGATTAGCAAATTGTTTAACATTAAGATTAGCACTTACCTCAAGGTATCCAGAGAGCACAATAGCAGTAATCAATCCATAAATAGCAACAGCTTCACAGAAAATAACTGAGATTAAATTTTTGGTCTTGATGCGAGGAGCTTTCACACCACCACCAATGATACTTACACCTGTGGTGTGAATACCACTGCAAAATTATATAACATGTCATAAAATATAGGAGAAAAATGATATGAGTGAAATTTGCACTTACAGGGCTGCCCCAACTACGGATAGAGCAACAGAGAGACCAATGCCTATCGTAGCCCACATATGAGGGCTTGTATCTTCTAGGAACCTTAAATCCAATGATATTAGAGGGGATGCTATATAGAATTAGGGACTTACTTACCATCCAAAGCTGACTCTCTCCCCTTTTCCAGTTAAAACATGATACAAACCTGGAATAATGTTTAGTTGAATATGTATACTAAAAGTCCTATTGATTTTATTTGCAATACTCACTTAAAATTGTGATCACAGATAGGGCAGTGCCAGTGAAAACTGACGTTAGCATAGTCTTCATTTTAAAACGTTTTGTGTGGAATGGTCTGAAAGTCTAAATAATAGTCCACAATCTAATATGACACTGGATCCGCGGATGGAACCGAATGTCTTGGGATCTGTCACGTGAAACTAAATGGATATAGGAGTGGTTCTGTCTTGTGCTAAATTGTTGTGAAACAACAGAGACAGACTTATGGCTAGAGCAACATGTTGGAAAGAAGAAGAGGGTTGCTGTAAAGTAGGTCTCTGCACTGTTTGCACGACCGCCAAAATTTAAAATAGACCTCGTTTATTAATTAGCATTATTAATATCTACAAATCTTAACATTTACAAGACTCTAGCGAGGTGCTTACTCTTAGAGTACACCTCTTTAAACTTCCCGATAATCTTCTTAAACCTTTCCCATTCCACCCTTGGAGGTCTGAAAAAAATAAGATAAGAGTATTAATACTGATCCTCGTTTTCCCTTCTTTGGAGTCTTTACCATGTAGATGCCAATGATGAGGCCGAACAAACCAATGGCACTACCGAAAATTTCGACAATTAGAATTTTCACGAAAAGACTTGAATTCGCTGCGTCCGCGATGGCAGCTCCAGATCCAACGATTCCCACACACATACCGCAGAACAGATTTACGAAACCTACAGAAAATCCAGCCCCGAAGATGATATGACTGCCCATCCAATTCTTTATCACCGCCTGCTCAAGCTCCAATTCATTCAAATTACCGATGGATCCATAATCCTAAATATTCAAAAATTTAAATTCTCGATCGCCCATCTAAGCTATACCTATGCATACTTCCAATAAACCAGAAAGAACTATGGCCGTGATCAAACCGTAAATGGCAACGGCTTCGCAAAAGATAATAGAGATCAAATTTTTGGTCTTGATTCTTGGAGCTTTCACTCCAGCACCCATGATACTAGCTCCGGTAGTGTAAATTCCTCTGGAAAGTAACATGGTCATAAAGGCGATATTATGTGTTTGAGAGTTACGTACAAAGCAGCCCCGACAACGGAAAGTGAGACTGCAAGCGCGATCCCCGTTGCAGCCCACATATATGGGGTAGTCTCATCCAAAAACCTTCAAATTTCAATAATTATGTGAACCACCCACTTAGCTATCAGAATATCTTACCATCCTATACTCAATTGCTCGCCCTTTCCGTTCAATGTATAATAGAGGGCTTAAAATAAGCAAATCGTTGGTCACATGCTCTTACAACACACCCAAAAATTGGGTTTCATGGATTACTTACCGAAGAACAGCAGGACCAAGGCTGTGGTCGTCATGAACGTGTAGAGAACCGTGTAGCGAACCATTTTCGTGAAACTTTTGTTCTTCGACGAGGGTGGAAATGTAATTGATTTTGCTACCTACACTACCGATCACACTCACATAATTCACTGCATGTGATGAGTCCTTATCATAAAGTATTTTATTTAACGTTTAGGTGGGAACCAGATAAGAGATCTTATCAGAAAATGTGACATGGAAATATGTACTCTGTATAGAGTAATTTTATTGTTTTGCTTACAGGAAATATTGTCAAAATGTATAATCTAATATATCACATTGTATAATGAAAATGCATAGCAATTTCAATCAAAACAGATTAAGAAAAGTTTAGGCATAATACTGTTTTGTTCAATAAGTACTTTCTTATATAAATATATAATTTTCATCACAATTTTGCTAACTGATTTCAATTGCGAAGTTTCCGTAAGTAGTAACACCCTGTAAATACTAATTTAAAACAAACACAAAAATGTATAATGCACGCAAATCTTAAAATATAATACATATATAAATATGAATAGAAATTGCAACCCAAAGAAATTAGAATAATTAAGTATCTATTATTTAAATAATTTATATACTATAAATAAATATATATATATTGTTTTGTATTTCTTTCATTTGATCACATTTCGTTTATTAATTTAGTCCGTTCCAGTATATGTAAAGGCCGATTTAGTTAAAGTTAATATGCGGTCTAATTGTGTACATTGTTAAAGGAAGATAATACGAAATAATAATCTAAATAATAAGTATATCAGAAATTGCACTATTGGAACATCCTTGAAATGTAATCATTGAAAGTAAAATAAATATCAATCTGTAAGTACACAATTATTTGCACAAAAAGTCTTCGACATTTTCAGACTTTACTTGTCGCGGAAAACTGTTTCCATTCCCGCCCATCTGAAGTATGTAGGGAATAACACTATCGATTTGTACTTGGCCAATTAAGCCGGCAAAAAATAGCTCCTCTATGATCTGAGGATCCAAGGCACGCAACGGTGGTAGACGTAACAACAACCTAAAAGTAATAATAAATTAGAATTTGTTAGAAAGGTGAATATGTGATACACTTACTTCGGAAATCTGTCTACGTCATCAGGACTGTTAACATTTACGTAATTTCGCAACGATTGAAAGGACTTTTCCTGAAGTCTCTCCAATTGCTTTGTAAGATTAACGTTAGGCTGTTCTGAGGAGAAAAGAGCGATCGCTTTCAAATAGGCATATTCGTGGTCATTAACGTGCAATCTGTTCATTGCGTTCACATAGTCTTGCAATTTGACGATGTGATCAGTCACTTGCTTTACTTTGGTTGCTGGCATTTTGTCTTGTGCTATTGACGCATGTAAATGGCTAATTAGTGCAGCCAATATGGTGGATAAAGACAACAAATTGGAGCACTGTGAGAGGCTGAGTGCAAAAAGGTCAGGCCAAGAGCTTTTCAACAAAATGATCTGTGTTTCATGACTGAAAATTCAATGATATTAAGTAAATAGTGAAATGAAATGATAACATACCTAAATGATTGAAATAGAGGAATATTTCTAGCCCAATGGATTGCTGCAAATAAAAGCCTTGAGCCACTTTCACAGATATAATGAATGTTCAGATATGGCGGTACGGCACCAGGGGTCTGCAAATTAAAAGCTATATGCTGTTCCTGCAGTAGGGGTCCTTCTATATCCACATAGGATTCTTCGCATTGTACATTAGTTAGGTCAGTCCCATTCAGGCATTGTACTCTAGCCATTGTATCCAATGCTTTGGAGATTAACTGCTTGTCCCTCGCCACAGTCAAAGCATCTGTCAACTCGCCTGCTCCAGTATTATTACTATCCATTGAACCTTCATCTTCAATACTAGCTTGACTAGGAGACATGTGATAGGGAATATCTGAGAAACTTGGATTACCTAAAGACATAAAATATGTATATTACTATGATAAAAATAATTTAAATTGAATACCCATTCTCTTGTTGAAAAATGGTCCTAATGGTATATCACAGGTACTCATTGGAGCTTGAGGCAAAATATTTGTCTGCTCTGAAGTGAGATCCTTGCGCAGGAATATCCTGTTTAGGCCAGGATTGAAGTTGGAGTTTGTGTTATTTATGTACTCCTTTTTATCAATGATTGGCTTCCGCTCGTGTTGGACAGCTGAAAGAATTATGAATCATCAGTGATTAATAATGTTTACTTTAATATCTACTTACAATCACTTCTCATTCCGCAGGCAAGACATTTCTGCAACCTGCAGTACTGGCACCTGTTTCGGTGGTGCTTGGTAACTTCACAGTTCTTAGATCCCCGGCACTGGTAGCCCAGCTGCTTTCGTATGGATCTCTTAAAGAAGCCCTTGCATCCCTCACAACTAATAGCCCCATAGTGCCTACCAGAAGCCCTATCCCCGCACACGACACACAGTTCTATAGCCAAACAGAGAGAACTTGTGTTGTTCCTATTCTTGTCACTGATTATCTCTGTTTTGATGGTTTGTTCCATAGTTGCTGGTATGGGTTTATTATTTATTTATATTTGGCGACCAAGCACTATAAAGGCACATAGATATGCATGGATGTAATTGACTTTGCGAAAACTAATAGAATCTTGAGTATTTTATTTTGTTTGACCTTTCACTGGTATTAAACATGGACAAGGTTCATGACCTTAAACTACACCTGCTTAATACCCTTCAAGATCCAATCACACTCGCGCGTTCATGTTACGCTACGTTCATTCAATGTTTTCTTTTTGAGACGCATGCTTGAACATACCAGTAATACCAACTGAGAATATTCAAAAAAGCCCGCCGAAAGACGAGAGAGTGGAAAAGCCGGAAAATCGGTGAAAAATAAGTTCCATTAAAACATACGAAAAATGAATTATTTAAATATTTATTTACTTTAACACGGGTTTACACTTAGATCCTAAACATTTAGACTAGATGTAAGAGAATAATAATTGATACATTCTATTGCCAATTAATAAAGTTGGAATGAATGTTATAAAGAAATCATTAAATAAGGAATGCAACTAACGAAATAACATATTTAAATATAGACAGAACCCTATATACTTGTAACAGATATAGAGAGTAGAAGTATTTACTTAGAATTCATTGTAAATTCTTAATGTTTATAAATCTTATTTAATTATCCCCTGCAGATTCCATGTCTACAAAAGCGGCTTTCACATCTTCGAAAACGTCCTCCTGGGTCTTGCTGGCATCGACGCGTTTCACCAAGTTAATCTGTTCGTAATGTTCGATAATCGGCTTCGTCTCATTCACATAAGTATTAAAGCGTTTTTTCAAACTTTCCAAGTTATCGTCACTTCTACCGCTGCCTGCAGCTCCGCGGCTTAAACATCTATCAGTGCAAATCTGGAATGGAAAAACGTTTATTACACACAACATTTGATATCATTATTATTATGCAGTTACCTCTAAGGAACAATCAAAGAATAAAACAAAAAGGAGTTTCACTTTCTCAGCAACACGCCTGTTCCAGCCATCTAAATTATCTTGGTTTCTGGGGAAGCCATCTATAAGGAACTTGTCCGTTCCAGATTCCCTCATAGCCCTCTCCAACAGAGAGCATGTTATGTCCACAGGCACAATCTTTCCTTCCCTTATGTAGGTCTCAATTAGCTCACCATACTCTGATCCAGGCTTCTGCCTCTCCTCTCTGAGCAGGTCCCCAGCAGACAAATGTTTAAAGCCAAAATTATCTACTATCTTCTGGCATTGGGTACCCTTGCCAGCACCAGGACCACCCAACACAAATACCACTTTATGAACCATTTCCGAAATTTTCAGTAGACGTTTGGCACTGTTCATATAATCTGAAACAATATGGTTATTGATTTTTCGTCTTCCTCTTGAAGCTTGTCACTGAATGTTAGTTATTTCATTGGATGACATAACCAATTTAGGACCGATCGCATGATACGTACCTTACTCTCTATTAATAGTCAAGTGTTTTGTTGGCTTAATTCAAGAGATATTTACTTTCTCTGTGATAACAAAAAAATTGATTACAATTGCTATTATTTATCAAAAAGCCGGACGTGTTATAAACATACGCGTGAGTAATTGAAGGTCTTAGATAAATAGTATATTTTATTCTACCACGAGATGGGTCTGACTTACAGCGGAATTTCGGAATGCAACTAAGAGGAGTTCAATCAGACTATGTACCAGGAGATCATCAATTTGAGAATGTTTTTTAAGGTTTATCAAATGTACCTTTCATCTTTTATGTGCTCCTGATGTTGAAGTTGCAAACAAGTTTTGAACAGATTTCCAGTTTAAATCTGAAACACAATAACTTCCGATTTTATCAACCGATTTTGATATTTTTTTCACCAAATCTTCCAGTTTTTCATTTATAAAATTATCAGCATTAATTATTATATTTTTTTTAAAGATAACTTAATAACTTATATGAATTTCTGAAATTTTAATATAAACACTCAGATTGTTCATAGGTATATTTCATTTATTATGTCAATTACAGATATAAATTAATTAAAATGCGACTTTCCAATTATGAGATAAGTCGTTCTTAATACATATACGATATATCTACCACATTTTGTCAAAATTCCTATGAAAATTGTGTAACATAGTAGAGTAATTTCATAAATTAATTGAATAAATAGCGAAAAATTTTTGATAAATTCTGACGAATTCTCTTAATATATACAAATAAATAAAAATGAAGCTTCCAAATTAATTAATTAAATAAAGCATAATTGGTATTGCACAGTGAATTGCTGTTGGCTAGTGCTTATTAGATTGCTGATCGGATCTGGGAAGTCCGCTTGGAGTGGCTGGGTCTTGGAACGCTCGAGGTTCTGACTCTTCGTTCCACCTTCTTTCCAGCATTGTAGCTATGGTACACATTCTTCATGCCTCTGAAAGCTGGTGTGGATTTATCCACGTTTGCGCTCATGTGCTTTCGCATATTGTTTCCGGTATACGCTACGCCTTTAACTTGGAATTCAGTAGTGTCCGTATTCCATAACATTTTCCCCTCGATTGTTTTCTAGTAAGAAAAATCGGAATAGTTAGTATATAAGAAAACGAAGATGAAATTTGCTTTTACCAGATATTCCTTGGGAATATAATTGTCTATCATTACATTCGCCAATTGCAATTCTCTTACTAATAAACGATAATTATCTAATAGAGCTTCCATTTCCCGTTGGTATTCATGTTCTTTGTCCGCATGCTCTTCTTTTACTTCATTCAAAAGCTGCTGTACTTTCTTAAGATTTTTAGTAATACCAATTTTTTCTTCTTGTAAAGTAGAGTACTGCTCTTCTACGTTGATTCTTTCTTGCTAAAAATACCAATAATAATTCAAAATTTCGGCAATAATTATAAACTCGTATAATAACATATTAATGTTTATTATAACTTACCCCTTTCTTTTGTATTTCCTCTTGTAGCTGTTTACTATATTCCTCCATGGTCTGCAACTCACCTCTGGATAATTCTAATAAGAATTCTTGCTGCTTGGCCTTCTCGAAAAGATTTTCGCCACCAACCAAGATTTTCTTTTGAATCAACGATATTTTACTCAACAACTCGGTTTTTTCCCTCCTAAAAAGCATTAAAAAAAATTTAGTAAGTTTCCTAACTTAAATAGCACAAAATATTAAAAATAAGTCAAATAATAGAGATAATTTAAACATACTCAGTTTTCTCAATTTCCTCATGTTGTTTACGAGATTCCTCTTCCAAAGTGATGTCTTTCTTCTTCTTGCTTTCCTGCTTTGCCATCTCCCTTTCTTCATGTAAAGAAATCAAATGGATCCTCTGCTGTAGTTTTTCAATTTCCAATTCAAAACACTCAATTAATCCCTTTTTAGTTTCAACATTGATTCTAGCAGTATTCTTAATAAATTTAACTCTGCTAGCGTACCTCAAAGTGCAGATGCTTTCCTCGTAATCCATTTCCGAGGGGCTGACCATTGCGATCTACAAGAAAATGTTAACAATACCGTTTTCGTCATTTATTTAGTTAGTATATTACCATTGCAGTTTTAGAATTTCCTCCTAATGAATCTTGCAATAAACGCGTTAATTTTGAGTTTCTGTATGGAATATGAGTACTTTTTCCATCCACTAATGCTGATATAACATTTCCCAAGACTGAGAGTGACTGATTGATATTGCTTGCCTCTTTCAACCTATCCCCTGTTGCCTGAGTTCTACTAAGACGTTCTGAGCCCTATAAATTTATATATAATATAATAAATGTAACTTTTACTTACAGCTAGAATTCAAGAAACTTACAGCCAAATCAACCAAATTCAATTTGCCAATGGTTGTCTTGTTGTCTGCCCTGTGTTTTGATTCAAGAGTTATGGTAAAAATTGCATGTGACCGAGAGCTAACATCATTCATTAATGTTGATCTAGTGATTCTGTTGTTGTTACCACGATTCATAAGTTCTGTAATGGATTCTATGGAATCCACAGTAAAACCCATAAGATCTTTTACATAAACACCAACATCTTTGCGCTCCCTAACTTCCAGCTTATTGTTTGGTGTTGTTGATAGCAAGTCCCTGACTTCTTCATTATATATTTCCAAATATGTGACTGTGACTGCAAATGATTTCTCTTCACTGGCCCTAGCAATGTGGGTAAATATATGGGCAAATGCATTTGGTATAATTCCCTTGAGTTCTGGTACCTTGTTATTCCCAGCCATAGTGAATGTTTTACCAGTACCAGTTTGGCCATAAGCAAATATAGTACCGTTATATCCCTGGAAACTCTTCTCAACAATAGGATAAGCAATGTGCCTATACAAATCCATCTGGAACAATTCATTACTTGATAATGCTAGTAATGTTAACGTTTACAATACCTGTGTGCACACTGGGCCAAAGACATGATCAAACTTGAATGACTTTGTTTTTTCATTACCCACTTTAAACAGTGTTAGGACATTTTCTTCTTGATCCAGAGTCACTATATTTTGATTCCCATCAGCCACCTCTTTTTTATTTAATGGTCTTATTCTAATCACCACCCGGACATTTTCCACTTCTCCCAACACTGATTTCTTGTTAGCCATTATGTACTGTAGATGTTACACTGTTATTAATTTATTTCATTCACAGCATAGTACCTGCTGTATGGAAATATATATATATTGAAGTAGCAGGAAGCTAGTTCTATATATGTTTAGAATGAATCAATAATACACCCACACATAGCAACTCATCATCACACCTTATAATGTCTTATAAGACATAAGGTGTTGAGTGGTATATGCAAAATATGATCTACATCCATACATGAAAGCTTATGTATAGTTCGATAAACACTAATAAATCTCATTTGTTCACATCATACAATAGACCTAACTAATTATGGATTTTTATAGCTACATATGCAGTGTTAGTTGCATATTCTTTAAATTGGTATAACAAACAGCAGTATATGTTAGCGAATCTCCAAAGTATAGAGTAGTTAGAGTATTCTAAATAAAATGTATAATATTCAATTTCTACTATATTTTAATATGTTTTACTAGTAATATAAAATAGTTGTAGTCTGTTGTGTTGCCTATCCAAAGAACTTGCTGTATCTCGAGTTGCCAAAGCTTGATCACTCACAAAAGTATTATAGATTGGTGAACTGGGTACTGTCAGCAGGTCCAAAAGGAATTGTTAAAATCCGTGAAAGATGTGGTACGAGATCCTACCCAGTTTTGGAATTGTCGTGGCTGCTATGGGTATTCCTCACCTCTCAGCTTATGTTATCAACAAAGTCGCAATTGGCAACGTAAGACATAACCTACATTACATAATTTCTGATAGCACTCTAATTCCCTGGAATTTGTAGTTCTATAGGCGCAGGTTGCTGACGGAGGAGGAAAAGCGCAACTATCTCCGTGATACGAGGCTGACCAACAATCCCTACACTATTGCTGTATGATATCCTTGACTTATATAGCAAGTGCATCTAACTAATGGTATTTTGTCCGCAGGGCTTGGAAAATATTCCTGATTCATAGAGGATGCTGTTGACAACATCATGTAGTAGGGAAGAATTGTAAAATAAAGAGATATTAACAATAAATTATTTTAAACTGTTATTAAACCTTTAATTCTATCATTATACTTAACTATTTTTTTAGATGATAATTTGTATATTCAAATGATGCTTGAAACACATAAACACTTAAATAGATGGTAAAACATATTTAATTTGGAATCAAAGTGTTAATTCAAATAGAATTGTATGAAAATTTAAATTCAAATTGATTAAGAATATCTATAAGAATATTTGAAATATATTAATGGATATTACATTGGAGTTAATACAAGTTTTTGGATATTTTCAGTTATTGTGAAAATATGGACTGATATAAGCAGCATTTAAGAACTGCCTAAAGTTCTCAACATTATATCACAATGTTTATAATAAGTTGATTATGTAGTATTTTTTTTTATATTTTTGTCTTAGAGAATAGTCCAGTCATTTATTTTACTGATTTTATAAATAGGAGTTCATAGTAAAGTTATACTGCATAAATAGATATAGGATTAATAACAAATTGCAAACAGGTCTTGTTTTGAATTTATCTTGCAGCATTTGATGGTAGATGTCGTGTAGAAAAGTACATTCAGCTGCCGGTAGGGTATAAACATTTGAAATGATTAACGGCTTTGCTTTGCCGGGAGAAGTTATAAGTTAGTCCTTAGTCAACGTTTTTGTTCTGTTAGTTAAATGTTAGCTTTAGCTGTACTTGTTATGTCGGAGAGTCGGTGGTTGTGTCGGTAGTGTCCATCAAGACTAAGTAAGAAAGAAAGAAAAAGACAGAATTCTATGTGATTTATTTCGATTTCAACGGTCGTACATATATACAGGTTAGAAGTTTAACGGTAAAAATTTTGAATTTCACTTGTTGATTGCTATTGGCGGATTTTGTGTAATATCGGGCTTCATTTTTTTTTTGTTCGTTGGTTTTATGCAGTTGTTAAGGGTGAGTCAGGACATCATTTGCAAACGTTGTTCATCGTGATTGTGGTGCTAAGATGGCTCGTTCAATACTGAAAAAGGAGTCCCAACATATCCAGGCATTTGCGCGCCTAAGGTAAGTGGAATTATTTGAATATGTATTTCTTATATAAAGCTGACTACTTGCAGGCCATTTAATAAGATTGAGTTGGAGTGTCATGCAAAGCAATGTCTGGAGATCAGTGGGAAGGATATAATTGTTCAGTTGCCCCATGGCAGTAAACGGTTCATGTTTGATAAAGTTTTTGACACAAACTCTAAACAAAAGGATGTGTACTTCACAATTATTGCCCCGATTATTGAGGAAGTCATGAAGGGGTACAACTGCACAGTGTTTGCATATGGACAAACGGGCACTGGAAAAACGTACACAATGGTTGGCAATCAGACATCAACGTCTATAAGTTATACACAAGTATGTAGATACATATACATTGTACATATGCATATAACTAATTTGTTTATTTCTGTATCAGCATTCCGATGCAGGTATCATACCCAGAACACTTGGACATCTATTTGAGACCTTGAAAAGTAACTCTGACATGGATTTCACAGTGCGTGTATCATACCTGGAAATGTATAATGAAATTATAATTGATTTGCTGTCCACTGAAGAAAAAATTTTAAAGTAAGATATTGGAATGAGGTAGTGATATATATGTAATAAGTATTTTGTAGGATTTATGAAGACCAGAAGCACAAAGGATCTGTGCAAATACATGGATTGGAGGAAGTGACTGTTTTTGATAAAAATCAGGTGTTTGAGATTCTTCAGGCAGGTTCGGAAAAGAGGAAAACCGCGGCGACGCTGATGAATACGCAATCCAGCAGATCTCACACAGTTTTCACGATCACGCTACACAGCAGAGAAACGACTCCAGATGGCGAAGAGTTGGTGAAAACTGGCAAACTCAATCTCGTCGATCTGGCAGGAAGTGAGAACATACTGAAGTCCGGTGCGGTAGAGAAGAGAGCTAGGGAGGCGGGTAACATTAATCAATCATTGCTTACTCTGGGCCGCGTGATCAAAGCTTTGGTAGAAAAAAGCCCGCATATCCCGTACAGGGAATCCAAATTGACTAGGATTTTGCAGGACAGTTTGGGTGGCAAAACAAAAACCACCATCATAGCTACTGTCTCACCAGCCTCCAATAATATAGAAGAGACAATAAGCACATTGGATTATGCTTTTCGAGCAAGAAACATATATAACAGGCCAGAAGTTAACCAAAAGATGTCCAAAACAGCTCTAGTAAATAAATATTTAGCGGAGATCGATAGCCTCAAAAAGGACTTGCACGCAGCCCGGAGCTCTGAAGGAATATATTTGAACCCCGAGAATTACTATTCGTTTCTGGAGGAGTCTGAAAAGACGAAGCAGGAACTGTTGAAAACCGTTGAGGAATGCTCGATTTTCGAAAGCCGGGTGCAGGACATCGAAAAAACGAAGACTGACTTGGAAGAGCTTTATAATCTTACGAAAAAGGACCTGCAGGTGTCTGCATATTCGTTGTCTAAATCTAAAGACAATTTAAAGAAGTTGAGGAAGCAAAGACGTATCCACCAAATACTCATCGACAAATATGATGAAGCGCAAACTAATCTTATGAAGGACAGAAGTGCTCTAGCGACAACTTTACAGAATTGTCTTAAGGACTCTCAACTTTTACACGACAAAGTTGAGAATCTGTACGGGGTTATTGGTAGCAATACAAGCTCGTCGCAAACGTGGCGGGAGTCTTACGACAAACATCACACGAAGTTTATGTCGAATGTGAAGAAGTACCATACGAATTTGGGACATAAATTCGGCGACTTGAATGCGTTGATGACTGCCTACAATGAATTCTTTGAGAAAACTTTGCTGCAATTATGTGAAGAGGTACACCGGGACATGCACGAGTCTAGTGATGCAATAAAGAAAAGCAGCGAAATCACCAAGCATTCTTACGATTCGCTTGTAAAACGTGTTGTTGAGAGGAATGCTCATATAGTGGAAGTCTTAGACAATATCCGCGATTCACATGTCGACTATGTTTCGACTAGTAAAGAGCATGTCCTTGATATGGATTCTAGGATTAAAGACTTCAACACAACATTGACTGAATGCTTAACTGACAAAGCTTTAGCTACTATTGCTCAAGATGAATCAGAGATGGAAAATAGCATGGAAGACATGAAACGTACTATTAGTGAATTGAAAAAAGCTAACGACAATCACATCGCTGAGATTGAGGAATGTCATAAGTATATGTTAGTTGGTATGCAGAAAATTAAATCTGCTGAAGAGAATGCCCAGAAGAATGCACTCTATATTCAATCAGTAGAGAAGAAAGCACTGAAAGTAGCGAAATGCACGGATAAGGCGATTGATAACATGAAATCGTTTTGTACGAAAACGCACGAAATTGCTACACCTATATTTAAAAGTCTAGATGAAAATTCAGAAAAGCACTATGTTCACATAGAAGAGTTGTTGGGCTATACGATGGAGTCATTATCTAATGTGCAAACGGAAACTAATGATATATGTGAATTTGAGAAGAATGTTGCCGAATTGAACAAGGAATATTCGGAGAAGATGGCCAGCGAATCTCATAAGCTTAAGAAAACTGGTGAATCAGTGAAAGCACATTGCGAGGGATGGAAAACGGATGTAAAGGGACAAGCGATGGAGTTTGAAAAACGTAATGATGAAGTGATAGCTGACATAAAGGACATGCATTCATGTATTACGGAGTCATTGCAACAAAGCAAAGAGCTGGTTGCTAATTATTTCAAACAGTTGGTTGATGCTAAACCGACGGGAGATACACCGTTGAGGAAGGAAACTGATGTGAAGTATCAGACTCCGAAGAGGGTGTCCAAGAATATTATGGAGAAATTCTCCACGGAATTTGAGGATTCGATAATTGAAGTTGATGATAGTGATATTGAAGTAGAAAGTTTACTGGCGACACCAGTCCGGGAGAATGGTGACAGTAGTGCGCAAAGTGCGGACAAACGCAAAAGTTTTAGTCCTAACGTAGATTCAGCCTCACCTTGAAGAATGCTGTTTATATAACGTTTTCTGTGTTATGTGTTATTATGTATATGGTTCTATATGAGATAATTCAAATAAATGTATTTTAAAAAAAAGAGAATATATTTGTGTTGTTTTTTTTTTACAAATCTATAAAAATAATATAAAGCATAAATACATCAATTAGTAAAACATTTTTTACTTACTTGGTAACAAAACTTATAAAGATATACTACACATTTACATACATGTGATGATCAGCCTTAATGAAAAATAAATAGGTAGAGAGGTAAGTGGTTAAGTAATATTTGCAAGGCTTTTGTGTGTTTTTTTTTTCACATTTGTTTTTGATAGAAGTGTTCCCCAACCAACCATAAAAAGCAATAGAATAGACTGCTGAGTCTATTCTCAGGAATGATTATTGTCATGTCCCCATTTAAAACTAGAAACAACAGGATATATAGAACGGAACTCTGTACAAATATTATAATAGTATTAAATTATATAATAATAATCGTAAGAATTAACAATAATAAATAATTAAATGTAAAATAATAAACAAAACTACATACATTACTCAGGATCTGTCGGATTTGTACGCAATTTCATTTGCAAATCGATAAACTGAGCGTAAAATGCGTGTCAAATACTATACTGTATTATATGTACAGATGATCGTTTTGGTAAAGAATCACGACATATTATTAACACTGATTATTTGATTTATCCAGCCTATGAACGATGAGACTTTCACGTAGACTCCGGGAACGTCGACGCGGCCGCAACCGAAACCCCAGGACACCAATCCTGCTAACTCATAGAAGCCGTCATCCTGGCATACCAAGGGACCTCCGCCGTCGCCCTGAAATTAAACCAACCAAATATTTAGGTACCATAGATTCATTTTATATAACAAACAAATGGTTCTTTCAAAATATCCTAGATACACACAGAATGCGTTCTAATGACCTACAATTGCCTTGTTTATATTATACTTATTCAATAGTTCTTTAAATTGTTTTTGCTAAATTAGAGAAGACTGCTTAACAGTAGAAAACGTACTTGGCAGGCATCGTTGCCTTCTTCGCCACCGGCACAGAAGCTGCTAGCAGGTAAAATGAAAATTTTCTCGGTTACAGCGTTGACCTTCCGGATACATTCGGCATCGCTGACTATAGGGATCTCCGCTTCTCGCACCCTCAGTGGTATAGGTCCAGCTAGAAACGATCAAAACGCTAATTTAATGCATAGTTCTAGGTGATAGTTAGAGATGACGTACATTCACCCATGTATCCGTATCCGGTGACGGTGCAGCGTTTGCCCGCGGCGTGGCTGACTCCTCGAGCCGGTAAACAAACCAAGCAGACACCTTCCTTCAGTTCTGCTTGACCGTGGAGTTTCAATAGGGCAATATCGTTATCTAGAGTTTGGCTGTTGTGGTTGTGATGGATGTAGGTGGTGGCGACGCGTAGCGTCTGTGCACCAGGACTACCGTACTTCCTAGTCAGATCGTGATCACCGACTCGCACATAGATCGCGTCTCCTGTACGCACGATGCTGCAAAATTCAAAATGATTGGTAATTTTCGAACATTTAGTAGAACAATGAAGCTCTGAATATTTACTTGGTGACGCAGTGGGCCGCCGTGAGGACCCATTGGGTGCCTATCAACGCTGCCCCGCATAAATATTGATTAAGGGAGTTGATTAGGGCAACCTGCCAGCACCATTCACCTCCTTCACCGTCTTCGCCTCCGACCACTCGCGCCCCGCGCGAGTTACCCTTAACACCGCAAACGTACTTGTTGTGGTAAGTTGGTCTACCCGTTGTTGAAGGTTTAACCTCGAGGGATGCTGAAAGCATTATTCATTCACTATTATTAGAATTACAAAAATTTTCTAAAACCTACTTAATGCTGTCGAGTCGTTGACGGTGGTTTGCCAGGGTGTGGTGTAAACAGGTGTGATAGAAGAAGGCGTCGTATTTTTCTGACTAGATAAATCATCCTCCTTGTGGCCAGTGACTTCGCGAATCACCGATTTCGGCGCGCAACATTTCGTTCCGGATTTTTGGCATTTGAAAACTTCCGTCATCTCAGCGTTTCCTGCGTTCAACAAAAATTATATATGGTCCCATTGATTGTTGCTTTCTTACTTACGGAAACAAGTGAAGCTTAGATAAGGTACAATGCAGGAGCCTGGACAATCAGGTCGCGGATCCACAGTAGTTGTCGTTGTCACCGGAGGCGGCTGCTGCGGTCTAGGTTTAGGTCTCGGACTCGTAGCAATTGATGACCTGGTGTTGCCGCAGCAAATGGATCCGCCTTGACAATTCGATGTGTTGGAGATGAGAACCGCGGGCCTTTGGCAAAAGGCAGCCATAATTTTCAGGAGGCAGATTCCCATACATCTAGGACCGGGATCGCGAACCGCTGGTCGCGGAGTCGTTGTGGTCGTCGTTACAATCGGCCGGTCATCGTTTTCCGTCTTAAATATTGTGTTAATATTGTCGTCGTTCAATGAGCTGTAAATTTTCTTACCGAAGCAGCTAAACAGCAAACACTACCGCCGCAGTCGGCTTCGTAGTCCACGTTGTCGCAAAGTAAAGCGAGGAAGTCTCCTACGCATTCACCTCTGCATTGTTTCGTCGGTTTGGTTGGTTGGATGTGTGCTAGAGTGGTTTTAATGAAACTCTCAGTGGTGGTAGACGAATATGGTTTTGGTTTGGGCTTAGGTTTGGGAGTGGTCCAAACGTCGACGCGCGTCTTCGTTGGATAGATCAGATTTGATGGTATGTTGTCTCCGAACTGATCTTTGGACACGCAGCAGCTTAAGTCCGGTTGGCAGAGATCCGCTGTCGTCAGGATGGCCTCGCAGTAATTGGCGACAGTGTTGGCCACACACACGCCCGAACACTTATTAACACTCGCTGTTCCCATTTCGCCCCCCGCCCACGAAGAAAAGAGAAAAAGAAGAAAAAAAGCAACAAATTTAGAACTCACCCGGTTCTTTAAATAATTTCCTATGCCTTTTAGAGGCGTTACAACTTACGTGATTCCTTTTTGTTTGAGTTCTCCTGCGGCTAGAATTCAATGATTATTGCTTACTGCTTAATGTGATTTATGGGGTATTGTATTTACCTGGCGCGTTGTGGACGGGGGCGGTTGCGTTGTGGTGGTCGTTGAGGTTGTTGTGGTCACTTCCGTGGTGGTTGTGGTGGTGGTCGGATGATTGATGGTTTGCTGAGGGGTCGTCGGTGGTGATTTCTCAGTAGCGTTCAAGGGTGGCGCTTCGATGCAGCATTTCATCGACTCCGGACATTGGGCATCCTCCAGGACGTCGTAGCAGATTATGGTGGCCAACGCATGGACGCAATCTCCAGGACAATCTTTCGACTTGACCGTGTTGGTGAACGTGTCCAGCAGTCCTGCACGTTGCGCATCGTATATGGAATAATTATGCAGCTTGTTTATTATATTATATATACGCTCATCGTATATACTGTTATTTGTTGTGCTGACCTCAAAATTATCACCGTTTGGATCGATAAGCGATCCTAGGATTTTAAGATTCGGGATAATTGCTAGATTCCGTTGCGCATCGTTTTAATGGGGAAGCCTAGCCTGCACGAGGGTTGGCTGTGCGCGCTCGCATTGAAATCTCTGCCAGCTTATGTAATGAATAGAGATTTTGCGTCCGCTTCTCATGCATAATATTCGGCTTCTCGGTCATTAAAAATGTAATTCTTTTTTTTTTTTCGTGGGATAACAGTAAAATTTAAATGGCGAAGTGCGTTGGCGAATTGGACTGGTTTTCGGTTTGTTGAAGAATCTAGCACGTACCTGATAAGAAGCTGCCGGCGAGGGAGTCATCTTGAGCGGATGCTCCGATTATTTCACTGCACGAGAACAAGAAGAAGAGGGCGAGTGGTACAATTCTGCACATGTTCAGTACCTTCGGAGAAAAAACTTAGTCCACTTATTGTCAACAACACAAACTCATCGCAGACCGACTTTCATTCATATGCGCGAGGAACTGTGCAATACGGAATTATTTCCAAGATACCCGCTGAAATTTACCGTTGGCAGCTCAAGGTTCTTGGTTGGGGTCTCTTCGGGCTCGTGTATATTATTCGGCCATCGGACGGTGCGCGGCGGACGCCTTTGTACAGTTATATCCATCCAATGCAGAGTTGGTCGCCAGCCGCATCCAAGACCATGGCCTTGACTATATATTATTGTGCCGTTGGTCATCGACCTCTTAAGTAGCTTGTGACGCTACGGCATTGCGCATGCACACACACCTTACGCCTTCTCACCTTCTTCGATGATATCACGTCCCATCATTACCACCGGGGTGCTGTGATCCGTTCGGCCCTACCATTATATTCTGCAACTGCCTCACCCAACATCGGTGCACCGTTGCTTGAGCCCATTCATTTCGATAGCCCCAATTATCCACCAAAACTATTTCCTCCTCTTCATTATCAATTCCTGCTGAATTCAAATCCAAATACATCGGAAATGCGTTCTACATTCCACCAAGGAAATCCTCCTCACCACACCATTTTTGTCACACCAACTTCCAACTTAATATTTACAATGCAATTCTTTTGTCCTCAGCTCATCATCAAGTATCCAACCCATCCAATCCTATATGAATTGTATGCATTGTTCATAGCTTCATATTAAATATTTTTTTATTTAAAAATCAACATAATAATAGCATAGGTTATTTATTCCTGAAAATCAAATAAATCATTGCTTTTATAGAAAGTAAATGTATTTGTTTCATTACTTATTTTACACAATTAACATATATATGTATATATAGTATTTCCAATGCAATCAGAAATTTGAAAACTGTTGTCAATCCGAGGAAATCGTAGCAGCAGAGAAGAGATGAGGTACACTTCCACTCTTTAGAAAGCAATAAATACAGGTTCAGCAATTTAAAAACTTTCTTTATTATAAAACTTATTATGGATAAATCGAGAAAGCCAGAAGTGCTAAGTTCAGTGAGAACAGTTTACAGAACTTCTCTATATGATATTCAAGCACTTAATTACCTGCCCAAAGTTTGCATGTCTCAGGGGGATACGTGAAATGGCCCAAATTAATTGAGACTTTACGTATACATACATCCATTGCAAATAGAATCCCTCTCGCGTGAAGAAAAACTAAGGAAACGTAAGCATCCGCACAATGGACAAATTAACAGATATTTGCCTTAACAGTTTCCGAAACTATATTGTTATATTCCAAAGGGAAACTGTCGCATTTCTAATCCTACCGCACCTGCCTCAACGTTCTAAGCCATTCGAAATCTAACGGAAAACCTTCAATAATTATACCTATTAATAAACCTATATCTAACTTCGATATACGATACAGTTTTGAGCGTTTCGAGGATTAAAAGTTTTGTAAGCGAATGCAAAGGATAAATATATGGAATCCAATTCGCATGTGGATAAATCGAGAATGTATATGTTGCAAGGGTGAAAATAAAATTTCATATTTTCTTCTTACAATCCGAAGGCAAGCCACTATAGCGTATTTACGTACCAGCATGAAATTACTGCTTGATGAAACAAGTTTCTCATAAAATATGTACGCGCGAAAACTTCCAATATAGTGGCGTTACGTAACGCGCTCGAAGCTCGTTTTCGAAAATTTTCACTTCATCCCGAGCGGAGAAGATCGATTACTTTATGCTTATGCATTTAGTTGCTTGTTTACTGTTACTACATTCAAGCTCGTACACATTTAAGACTCCAGCATGGAAATACTTTAGTTGCATCATATGTTATACAAAGCTTTAGATTTTTATATAAATAGTAGTAAGCATTATTTAATAATATTTACTTTTTCATGATAAATATTTATAGTTTATTATTTGAAATAATACAATAATGTGTGTACATACCTTTCGTTCCGGATGATATTTGTGCTCGTCGGAAGTATCATTCACTTCCTTTGAGCGCTTAGCGTCGTCGAGGGCTTCCTAGAAAGGCAATTCTTTTCAGGAAAAAGGTCGTACAGATCAGATGGTATTGGATTGAAAGTAAATACAAGCATGGCAATGGTTGCAGCAGTTAAGTGATTCGTTTTATTATCGCAAATTGATATTTGTAGTCCATGAAAACGAATGAGCCCATGGTGTTTCCTCATTCTCAGCGAGAATGAACTCAGCACATACAGATGCAGCTCATTCGAAACCTTTTTAGATGAACAGATGTTGGATGCCGTCCCGTTACGGCCTGTTTTTGTTTTAGAAAATTAAGGCACCCTCTCGCGACATGTGCTGCTACAACGAACTTTCTTTTCTCCATCCATACATACATACCATACCATTTCATTACATTCCGCCTCTGCACAGGATAATTCAAACGGGAATAATGGTGAAACAAGTGGAATTCAAATCACAGTACATCGACACCATACACATAATTCATGTTTATATAGTTTTATTTTGATAATATACACATCCTTATAATTACAGGTTTCACATTCTCTTTACAAAACTCTTTTCCGATCGTAGCCTAGCTCTCTTTGAAATCCAACTTATCCGGATTGCGTCGCCTTTCGCGCTACGCACCTGCATGGTATGTGTGGTTAAACATCGAACACAATCATTTTTTACTTAATTACGAGTTGAAAGTTACATTTAGTGAATAATTATGATATACATACTTATATCATATACACATACATACATTCTCCTGTATATATATATGCATATACGCGTATATATATTTATTATACTTGGTAAACACAAAGAGAGAAAGAGATAGAGAAGAAAACGAGCGCATCGTCATTCGAGTACATTTTAGATACTGGTTTTCTTGAAGTGGCACAGTGAAAAGGAAAGTCGTAGAGTTTCGATGAAGTTTCTGGATATCTGGAAAGGATATTTTTTTGCTTCCCCTAATTTTCAATAACCGGAAAAGGGATCATTGAAATTGGAAATTCCAGGAAAAATAAATGATACCCAGTTATTATTATATGTTCCTTCACGAAATGAATTCAATTAAAAAAATTGTTGATGAAGTTTTTGGAGTTCTGGAAATAATATAAATTTATTCTCCGAGACGAAAGAAGTTGCAGTTACCAAGTATTTTCTTTTTGTCTTCTTCTTGTAAATTGTATTCTTTTTTTCATGTAGACACCGAATTGTTTCGTATTATGCAATGAATCAGCGAATCAAGAAAACAGGGCAGTTAATTGGTTGTGTTTCCGTTTGGGATTTTGTATCAACTTTTAAGTGTTCTGGAAATTGTATGCACGAGATCTTCCCGTTATTTTATAACAACATTAGTTTGCGAGGTGAAATACTGATCTAGATATTGTGTGTGAAGCACTGTTTACCGTTATTCTGAAGTTAATAAAGTGTATTTTCTGAGATAAAATACTGATTTAGATTTAGTTACTGTTATTCCGAAGTTAATAAAACCTATTATATTTTGAGCTGGAATTATTTACTTAGACGTTATGTGTGAGGAATAACTAAAATTTATTATGGAATAATTAATTTTGATTATTTTTTTTTTGTGCGTTTCTTTACCGTAAATAGTTTTGATTTGATATCTTCTGTAATTTTTCACCTCATTTTTTTATTTCAATAACCAATTTCCATTTTGTTCTTTTGTAGATTTCATTATGTAACGAAACTATAATATTTTAAATATAAGTTTTTAATCAGTCATTTAGAAAATAAAAAAAAAGTTTCAATTTGAAATTTGAAATATTCTCTAAAGAACGTTTAGTGTATTGGAAATGAAATGCATTTTGTTTCTATTTTTGAGGTGATTTTGATGTGATTTATTTTAATTTTGAAGAGATTTGCTTGTGCGCTTTTTCTTGCTTTAGCTTTGACATCTTCAGAAGCAATACTCAACTTCTATTTTGTTCTTATTTTATCTTACCGATTTGCTTATGTGGCGAAACAGTGAAAAACAAAATACAATATATTGAACAGAATTATTTACGTAGTTGAAGCAATTGGAAACTTTTTGTAAATTTTGTTATTTTAATTTATTGAATCATTTTTATACAATATTTCGTCTATTTCTTTCAATTTGTGTTCAAATTGTATCAATGTTGGTATTCGATCGAAGATAGAGAGGATTATAATGAAACATATATTTACACATTTACACTTAATAATTGACGCCTATGAAGGCGATTCTCGACATATATATATATAAATATATCTTCCCAGATTCCAAGGGATGGGGAGGATATAATAACCATTCCGAAAAAGGTTGGGATATAGAAAATTATGATTCTTTTTTTTTTATCTTCTTGTGGTGATTTTTGTAGAAAATATATATAAATTCAATTTCGTTTTTGCGAACACGGGGAAAGCCTTTAATTGATCTCGGAAGATGGCAAAGGTGTATTAAGCCCCGAGGATCAATGAGCCGTTTCCTCGATGAAGGACGAGCAAGTGCCTCGTCGGTTTTGTTTACTTTTATTATTTTTTTTTTGAGGGGACTTCTTCAAAGGCGATTTCCCGTTGCGTTTGATTCGGATTGACTCTCATTGTTCTTAGTTTTCTTTCGCTGGGAAATGGGATAATAACAGAGTTTCCAAACGCAATTCATGACTGTTAGTCCAGCCCTGGCCGCTCCTGATTGCAGCCATGCTAATCCCATCCAATTTTCACGGACCTTTCAGCCCTGGGAGTGCCAATTATCCCATTGAATTATGACCGGCTACCACGTTCTCAGTTAATAACCATCTTCGCTTTACACAACCATTCCTGTCCAAATAAATCTAAACGTTTTGTTTCTTTGGTAAATACCCATTAATATATACACACTAATATGATAATACTATTATTACGTTAATATAGATATTTATCTTGTTTTATATATAATCATCATCATCATCATCTTCATATAATATATATATATAGATTTCTTAAATATTAATAATCTGCTTGTATATATATATATTTTTCTTATTTTTCAGAATTGGTTTCTTAGAATTTCGATTTAAAAATTTCCCGTTCTTCCAGACTCGAAACGCTTCTGACAACAATTTAATTTAGAACTATTTGATTTTTCAATCAATTAGATTTGTGAATAATTTGATTTTTTTTCTTCTTCGCCAAACATCATGAATAATATTTAAGAGATTCGCTAGACACCGAACAATGAGTCACAAGGTTACGACAGAGTTACTATTACGTGAGTATCATAATATTTGAAGAGAGAAATCATAGGGAAATCATATATCTTTTTTTTTTGTCATTTTTGTAGTTGATTTTTTTTGTTTTGTTTCTTCTTTAACTCAAGATGGGGTTGGTTTTGGGTGTTGCTTTAGCTTCGGGTGGTGGTGGGATATGTTGGATGGGTGACATTTTTGGTTTGGTTAATTTTGCGGAAGTGAGGAAGTGCGAATAGAAAAACGTGGGGGATTTGAAAACGGGGGATCAAAGTAATGTAGAAAAAATCGTAGGAGGTTGGGGGTTGTGTATATATGGTGTTTCAGGGTGAGGATGTTTTCTTGCAAGTACGTGTGTTGTGTTTTTCGCTTAACTTTAGACATGGTTTGGCTGACTTAAGACTCGGGGTTAAAACAGCTACCTGTCGCGCACCCTCAAGGGTTGCAGTTGTATACTCAAGTACATTGTGCAGTACATATAGATAATGATTATGAAAATGCAAATCTTAAAAGCGCTTTGGGAAAGTCCTGCAGATCCTGTTTGCATAGCGGCCGGTCTTTCTCCTACAAAACAACAAATCATAGGCATATACAAAACCCGGAACCTGCTCTCTTTTGATTTGGTCTACTTTTGCACATGCACCGCGTACGATCGTTACGTTTCTCTCTGTATTTGCTTGCTTGTCTGTTTGTTTGTTCGGCTCTTCAAATGGTTGCGCCCTTGCGAATATTAAGTATAATATGAGTGAAAATAAAGAAAAGTAGAATAACGAAAAATTAAAGAAATTAATAGTAACAATAAAATCAAACAGAACGAATAAATAACAGTGGAACTGGGGTTTCGTCGAAACAAATTCGGATGAAAGATGATGATGAACGAGAAGAGACCAACGAGTTACGTCGAGCCTTCGTATAAACACAAGTTCGATTCATCCTAGCAGTTTCACGCAGATCTTTGGTGGTCTTTGAAATGGTTGCACCGATGCTTGGCATGAGTGAAACATCCAGAACGTGATAGGTGATGATTATGGCATGAATGAATGATTTAGAAGAAGATGGAAATGAGATAGGTGAAGATTGACGGCCAGTCGATGGCCTTTAAGAGAGCCAGAATGAGTAGTTTTCGTAGACCGATGTTCGAAAATCCGAGATTGAGGAAGTAAGCGTAGAACGATGGTGCAGTGCGTGTTGCCGTTGATATGCGACTTGACCGGGATGAATACTGTGGGTTGAACTCACCGTTCAAAACATGTACCCGAACGCTAGCCACATCTGCGTTCGATGGGCTGCATGAGTATTTGCCGGAATCTGAAAGATCCGCGTGTTGTATTAAGAGATACGAGGTCGTGATTTCACCCTTTTCGGTAATAACACTGACGCCACCGCGGCTCGAATCGTAGCTGATCACCTACAAGAAAGAGGATGTTTAGATCCAAGGCAAAGTAGCGTCTTTGAGATCACCAGGCAAATGAATCTGCACGTAACAGTCAGTTCGCCCAAGTGACACCGTCTTTACCGGTGGATTCTTTCTTACGTCATCGTGATGGTACCAGAATATATAAGCGGGAGGTTCCGGACTAAAACGAATGGAACAAGTTAGGTTGATGGTGCTTCCTTTGTCAACATGTAGATCGGGACCTCCTAAAATCGTAGCAGTAGGAACTGGAACAGAGCGCCAATTACAATGCAATCCATACAGATCAACTTAATGCTAGTTCGACCCTGACAGTAAGCAAAAACGTAACGAAAAAAAGAAATTAAAAACAACAAGAAAACAACAACATTAATAACAACAACAACAACAAACGTCGAAAACAAAAATGAAAATAATAATAAAAAAATAAAACAAAATCAATAATGATAACGGAAAAGAAAAGTCATTGGGACAACGTAAAAGTAAACAACGCGAATCCAGCGCACATGAGGGCTGCATGGTGAAAGTATCCTCGACCGACAATAACGATAAATCGAGACTCCCAACAACTGCTATAACCATTCTATCCCAGAATCCGTATCACCTTAATTGCCACCAATTGTTTCTATATATATATATCTTTTTTTAACCCCCCACCCACCAAAGCTCCTTTTTTTTTGCTGTTGCAACTATAAAACGCGTTTATTGGCAAACGACAAACGCCCTGTAATGTCTGTACAGTTAGTTACCAACCAATTCCCAGGATTCGCCGGCTAAATTACCAATAACCGCTCTAAATTATAATTACATCATATATTATCGGTACAATCAATCAGTTGCGAAATTTAGCCAGCTCACAGCTACAACTAATTATATATTCGTATTCATTAGATTATATTTACATAAAGATATATTAAATGCTCCAACCATCTAACAGTACAAACGCAGTTTTTAATTTGCATTCATTTTAATAATGAAATCGCGCGCGCGACATTTTCTACATGGAATAATTCCACAACTAAAGCAAATATCCCTCGAAAAATAAAAAAATATTCAATAATATATGATAGATTAATATAAAATTAATTTTCAATTTATTAATTTACATGGAAAATAAATAAAAATTATATTAATTTAATTAGACTTTTTTTTTAATTAATTCATTTGTTTTTATGTAAGAATTATTTAATACTCGTATTAATGGTGGGATGCTTGCAATTGTTGTATCTATTCAAAGTTTGGAGTATCTAACAGCTTACACATATTTTGACGAGTTTGATTTTCTTTAATTAATTACATATAAAAAAAAATAGTAATACATTACTTACAATTAGTAAATGCTCTAAAAAATAAAGATATATTATAACAGTCATATTAGTTTGAACATAATTCTTGTTTTCAAACATTTAATTTGTTTGATGAATGAATTGAAGAAAATTACAATAATCAAACTCAATGATCAATTCATAACGTTTATGTATGTTGTTGTTTGATATTTAAGTATTTGTGATTTGTTATACCTATTGGTATAATATGTGTTAGACGTGAGGAAAAGGTTATTGAGTTTGGTTTTGGTAATGTTTTGGTAGAAATCGATTGGTAACTTTCCCAGCGACGGCTTTTGTATCACCAGCGCAGCGCCACTCACATGCACAAGTTCAGTTGGTTAGGGGTTAAAGATTTAGCAGAAAACGCAGCCACACACAGAATCGCACGCAAACACACTCACGCATTAGTTAAATATATATACACATCAATATTCGAGCAGTTATCCATTTTAGTAACTGAAAACATCGAAAAACCAACGGAAAGGGAATATAAAGTAAATGAAAAGAAAACCTTGATCTGCGAACATTTTGTGATAACTATCACTACCATCACTATAAAATTTGTCCCTTTCCGATTCGGGCAGATCTTCGTTATCGCTGAGATCTGGAACGAAAACGGAATTCGTGAAGCGGATGCGAGCCGGCCGTGATTCATGTCCTAATTAAGGGTAGATTTACTTGTTTTCTTTTATTAGTGTTAATTTCAAATTGCAACTATTCCTGCAGTGAAAGATCCATTATCTTTAATAATGTTAACTACTTGATGAATTTCATACTGTTTATTAATAGATATTGTTATATTATTATAATTTAAAAAAAATAAATAAATAAAGAATAAGGAATGAAAACAAAGACAAAGAATAGTAACGAAATTAAAAGAAAGAAGGAACAATGAGAGCAAGATCTAAATAATGGAAAACAAAATAAATGTGTCTCTAATTTACTTTACTTGAAACGCGTTTTGACTTCTTTCTAATTGTGAATTGCAAAATCTATACTTTAAATGGTCTTTCAAATTTTGAAGTTGTTTTTTACATGAAATAGTTTTGGAAAAATAATGACTGGTTTAGGGGTGTTTTTGGTAGATTGAACTTACCGACGACGTTAAGGGTGACGGAATAGCTTCGCACGGGTTGGGTACTGATCTGACATTCGTATACTCCGGCATCACGTTTTTGTGCCCATTTGATCTGCAGTGTCCATTCGTCAGTTTCGGGATGATGATTAGCTTGGAATCGCTGGTCGCTAGTATAGGTGTAGCTGCTCACGGTGAGTATGTGGATATCTCGATGCCTTATCCAAGACACCTGCAATGAATCAATCATCAGCATCCCTTCGCCATTAACAATACAACGCACTAAATCTCCCTGCTCGGCGCCAATAAATAACCCTCTGCCCTCATGACTCTTTAAACTCTTCCATTCGCTGCGTTATTAGGGCTCTCCGCAGTTTCGCGCAGGCACTGCCACTTTGGAATTGGATATAGTTCAACAACAATCTTGGCAACTCGGGTAAATTTCATTTAGCTGCGAATTTATCGCGGCCCTCGAACTTTCCAAGAGCATAATTACGACACTAATATGCCGAATATATTTCTTGCGCAATCGTTGAATTCTTTCACAGCGACGTATAACGGGACATATGCAAACGAATGGTATATGAGAAACAAAATTGGATAACATTTGCACATAATGATAGAACCATGTAATATTTAGTATGAATACAAATTCCATTTGATTTCGAAATTTTACAAATAAAAAAAATTAAAACAGTGACAGGTTTGATTGTATACCAATAAATTTATACTAGAAAATCTGTCTTAACTAGATGATGATATGAATTATGTTTCCACTTAATAACATCATGTACACTCCGAGGATAAACGCGTGTGCATCCGAATATTTCCCGCTGAGATTTGCATTGAAGCCCTTGGGGTGCGGCGATTTGTTGAATATACCCAGATTTGAATTAACTCGCGGTCTAAACCACTGAAATCTCTAAATGTAATTAAATTTCAACGGAAAAGGGGGAATACATACTCGCTCGGATATTGCGCTCGGAACGGACGCACCCGTTCCTCGGGACACCCCTTATTAACTCCACAAATTATTAACAATTCATACTTTAATCCCATCACGTCATTCGCTATTCCATTACATTTTTTGACGCTGATTTTATCCGCGCGCATTAGAATCAGAACAGTTTCACATAATGCCGCCCCTTTGAAGTTTTCATTTAATCCACCACACGACAAAACTAGCATTTGCAATTTAATCATGTCTAAACTTTTATTTCCACTCGATTCTCACATTCATAATGCATCTCTAATTACATAATTGCATAAAAAAAGAAGATCTTGCTGAACTTTTCTCATCGTAACCGATAATTTCAAACATTGATTACTGCACAACAAATTATTAATTATTTACTTACGTAATTGTTTGCAGGGCTACGTTCTAATTAGATTAACTCACGACACTCCAATTTACATACCATCAACGCAATCATCAATTTATAACTGTAAAAACAAACTTGTTAACTTCGAACAATCCGGAATTATTTCAATTTTTGATGTTGTGAGTTTGCAAATGGTGGAAACGGTTTTTCAAGAAGCGTGAAGCAATGACAAAAAAAAAATAATGTTTGTATGCAAACAGCTATATATAATAATAATGCATATTTATAGTGGCGAAGCATTGTGATCATAGCCAGTAATGGTCCATTCAATTTTATGTCCAATTAAAACGAACAAATTTGATGCATAAAACGTTCAAATCCCGTATACTAACACATATATAGCTGAAAATATATATTTTTTTATGTTGAAGCCACCAACGCGCCGGAATAATATTTTCTATACTTTCAATTTTAATGGTTTTCTCGTAAAATTATAATACAGATATATTAATGGGGAAGGTTTGCTTCCAGATTTTTTTTTTATAATTATCAGGCAACATATTTTTATATACTTATGATATTAAATGACGAAACGTGAAGCAAATTGCTGGTCTGTACGATCCTATATACGGCTTTCCCCGTGGGCGTCGTTAATCCATTTTCATATATATATATTTTTACGTTACGCAATCGCTCTTGTACGTCCTTCAGGTGGTCATAACATTATTTCGTGACAGAACGACTTGCCACTTGGGTCCGCAGGTCGTGCTGTTTCATATATACATTTTTTTTTCCCATTTATTTTCTTTGTAAATCATAACGGAATCACACGCGCGTTACACAACTCAACGTGATTTTAATATTTATTTATTTTTTTAAATATTTATATTACTAATTTAAGAATTTCTAAAGAATTGAATGGTTTGTCGTCATTTTAGTTTAGCAAATAACTAAAAGATAGCGTTCAGAAAAATTTGTATGAAATGGTTTAAAGCTGTTATACTGAATTGACGCTACATCTGCAGTTGAAATATGAAATGCTAAATCACTCAAAAACAAAGAAATCAATCACATTTAATGTGTATCGATGTATGGGGGATGTTCGCAGGCCGGGATTAATATCGCGTCGATTTTTACACTACGCCGACCACAGGATCCGCAATTACGCAGTAATTTCGATGTTGCATAACGCATAAAGTTGGACCGATTGACGTGCTCTGCGCAAATAAACGACGACGCGCCGATATAAATGTATTTAATTAATGCGCTTAAATTTAATATTGCGCATTCCGTGTTGACTTAATAACGATATTAAATTTCATCCGTACACCCAATTCCGATCCCTTCGTCCTGCGGGACTGCCGACCCGTCAATTACTATGCATGCCCATGCCTGTTTTTCATCCCTTATTTTTTTTTTCTGTCACACTGGTTTGAGGGAGATTCCCATTTGTTGTCCGCGGCTGCAAATGACCAATTCTCCATGCATTCCCAAAGGCAAAAGTAGAACTACCACCATCCCCCAATGGTCGGACTTTTTTAATGCGAGAAGCATTTTAAAGTTGTCGCTCAATTTTGAAACCCTAATCATACCCGGCACATCCGCAATATAAATGTAAATTGTGTTATGCTCGGACAGGTAACTCCAATCGGTGGAAAGCGACGTGATTTTCCACTGCTGCTACTCACATCACCGTCTCTCTTGTTCTTGATGTTATTGTTGATGTTCATTTGTACATTGAACTAGATAAGTAGCATCCGTGTCCTGAATGTTAACACAGGCTCATATTTCTGCGCGATGGGAATTAATTCAGCATAAGTATTGTACTTATTACGTTTAATTGAAAGGAAAACATTCTTCTTTATCTTTCCTTCTTTCTTTTTCCTTATACATATATATTTCTTTTTTTGTGTGTGTGTGTGATTCATTAAAAACCGACGAGGCAATTTTACGAACTGAATAAGCAAAATGCAGCGGAGGATGCTAGTGTTTCCAGATGTATGCAAATTTATCTTATTCATATTTAAACCGTTGCCTCTCGCCGGTTTTTCATTTACTTCCGAAGCAATTTTGTTAAACTGCATTGTATCTCTCGAATGCAATAGAAATATTGCGTACAATCTCTTGAAATGGTAAACTTATTGCCTTCCACAACTCCATGTGGAAATATAATACAAAGCGAATTTCTTTAACAGTGCAAACATACATTAAAACGTTATGAATGAAACTAGACATTACGAAGTTATTAAATTAAATAATCCAAATCATTTTTTACTATTTTTTGTTTCACTAATTGTTAAGTATATTAAATAGTAAAAATTATCTAATTCTAAACTTAATAAAAGGAAATAATACCAAATTAAAAATTTAAGAAAAAGTACAAATTATTTTTAAACAATAAGAAATTTGTTTTTGACATATGAAAAATTAAATGTTGTAAATTATTTTATAAGCTAGGTTTTAGTATTTTGTAATTGATCTTCGAAAAGGAACAAATTATTACGTGCAGTATCCACGACGATTGATAAAGTGAACGTAATTTGCCCACGGCTAATCATGCCGTACAGACAAAGGGAGAGTTACGATAGGATTGAAAAAATATGTACATAGATCAAATTTCCCGTGAGTTTCAGGATAAAGGATAGTCACGTTCTTCGCTGTTTTATTATACATTTAAATATTTTTTGATGTGTATGCTTTGCCGAAATTGGAGCGTGTATTTCCATCTTGTGCATATGTGTGTAATGTCCACGAAATGAACAAATGTTTGGGCTGGTTTCGCGATGACCAGTAAAGATACCGGCTTTTAATAGATGCCCAGACTTGCTCATTAGTGAGGCAATAAATATCCGGACGGCAAACGAAACTTCCGGTCAGCAGATACTCGGCCAGTTATCGCCCATCATTCCTTTCTAAATTAGGCCCTTTCGCGTTTTACGGCGAATCTAAATAAGCCCTGCGCTGAAAGCGTACAAAAAGGAAACATTTTTTGGTAAGAGAAGGAAGAGTAATAAAACGAAAAAGAAAGCAGGAGTACACGGTGAATAGAATAGAGGAGAATAGCTTGCTCCGAAAACTTCCGTGCGAACAATGATAAAACCGGTGATATAATCTCTATAATTTACGTTCGCATTCACCTTATTCCTTGTACCACTTCTCAAAATGCAAAGAGGACGAAGAAAAATATAAGCGGACGTTATTTACTGATTGCATTCATTAATTATATTGTAAAAAAATATACTTTCATTACATAATATTTTTGTAATAAAAAATTAAAATTATGCTTATTGTTGAAGTTAAGAAAATCAGTTTGAATGGATTCCAGTTTCATATGAAAGTTGGATATCTGGGGAATGTAGTGAGTATTCATACATCACTATGGTTTCATAAGTAATGTTCTCATCTAACCATAGATTGGAAACAGTTGATTAAAAGAAAAAAATCTACAACTGCAGAAATTGCATTATATATAAGAATAACTCAGTTCAAATCTTTGAGGAAGATTTTAGAAAGATCATAGTATATCACCAATAAAAGAGTATACTAAGACCTTCGAGATGAGACAATAAAAGTGGTAATCAGAGTTTTATCTAGCAAATATAAAGATAAGCTACCAAGCTTAATTTATTGGACAATGACATTTGGACATTATTATGTTTTAATTTATTATTAATTAAATTTAGATTTATTCATAACTTTTTGTATGGTTTTCTTATGTATGTTTTGTATCGAAATTATGGGAAACAAATTTGTAAATTATGTAATATCAGCATTGATTTAAGATGGTTTGTCTGATGTTTTAATCAAAAAAAAAATACATATTGGATGTGGAAAAAAAAATCGCAATTTCCTGCGGACGCTCATCTCGTCCTGGCGGCCGTTTTCGTCCGTGCGCAAATGTAACTGGTTCTATTAAAAAGTTAATTGAATTTTGCCATTGTTATGTCGCGCAGTCGAATGGTAATCACTTTTTAAACTCGGAACGTGTCGCGTCGGAGCACGTAACACCTGGATGAACTCGGTTTCTTAACAGCGAAAAGAAATTGACAAACGAGGAAAAATCAAGGGGAGGTCGAAGAGGAAATAAAAAAAAACGAAAGAAAGTTGTAAGCAGGAAGCGTAATTATGAATCGATCGGATCCAGTGCGAGTGGAAGATTCGTTAATTGCCACTTCGGAGCAGACTAATTAAAAAGTCCGGAGAGTCCCTTTATGTTGCTTTTCGAAAAGAGAAGAAGGATGATGATGATGATGATTTAGCTTACCGTTTTGTTTCCTAGGTTTCGAACGCGGCACGTTAAGTAGGCGGATTTGCCTACTAAGGCTGTTACATTCCTTGGAGACATTGTGTCGAAGTAGGGTTCCGGGTGGCTGGGGCTGGTGGGTAGTACCTCGGGGATGGCGGCCAAAGTCATCAGGAGGTTGTAGTTGTTGTTGCTGCTTCGGTTGACCACTCCAGCGTCGACGAGCCCTCCTGGAATTTGGAAAATATGTTTGTACTTAGCGCCAGCAAGGATTAATACAATAAAACACTTTGCGGTTAATGGAAGAGGCTGTGTGCCTTCACCATCCAACTCCGAGGATAAATAATGTATGGATGCGCCGGGCAAAGTGGACCGTTAATATCACGGTATCACTTTAGCTTTAAGATATCGACGCGATTCCCACAGGGGCCTTCCAATCTATTTAATTTTGACTTCTTTACTCCTTTTCCATACTTTTTAAACACATAGCCTACATACAATTTCATCAACGAATTATGTTTCTCTACACAATACTTCCAATACATTTTACTGCTACATTCACTTTAACCATACACGGATAGATTTATTTAAGAGCCATTTCATTACCTATTTTTCTTTTTAACTGCTCAATAAATAATACAAGATCTTATAAATTACACTTAGCTTTTCGTATCGTTGAATTTCTGGACATATCGCAAACCCAAGTATAGCATACAGCTTCATAAAATACAAAAAAATAGACATATCTTTTAGTAGATTTTTTGTTGTTGTTGATTTAACATCATGAATACATGTTTGAATTTCAAAAGACACAAGAAGTTAGTAATTGGAACGAGCGGCAGGTAACGAACAACGAGAGAAGAGGTTGCGTTGTTAAACGCTGTAAACGGCTTGTGTGGTCGTAATTTATTTAATTGGCGCGTTATCAATAATGGATTTGATAATAGGATGCGGAATGGCAAATTACGATGCCTTATCTATTCGAAGGGATGATGCACCACGCTGTGCGCGCTTTGCGTGACATGCAACCAATTACGAAACCCCGCATCGGGTTGAAATAATACGCGTTACGTAAACGTAAATCATAGTCAAAGGCGTATTTGTAGGTAAAAAGTAAGCAAAATAAGATGGCACGCGACGATCCGGGTGAATACGCCGGATCATCACAGGATAATCCAATTCGTAATCGGATGCAGTTACCTAATATATATTTAAAAAAACTTAACTTTTTATTTACTTGTTTTCAGGTAATGAATATTTCGATGTTGGGAAATGGTTTTAATATATTTTTCAAGTTCGTTCTGGGTGTTAAGCGATCACCAATCGAGCGGCCCAAAAAATACGTGGAAAGGTTGAAAAATAAAATAAAAAATAGAAGGGAATGCAAATAAAAATCTCAAAGCCCGTTGTTTATGGCGGCTCGAGAACGTAACGTTTTTATTTTCCCAGCTCGCATGTATTAATAAATGCATTTCGGTTGATCGATGGGATGGATGCTTGTAAAACGTTGTCTTCGTTAAAAACCGAAAATCCTGCATGCTTTCCTAACGAGGCACATCGTTACATTTCTCCAACATTATTAAATTTCACAAAACACTAATATTGTGTTTTTAAAACCAATTTAAAAAAAAGTCTGTTTTAGTTTAAACCCTAGTTAGTATTATTAGTGTATAGTATGTGATGTGGTGGACTGTAAAAATATTGTATAAATCTGAAGTAGAGCATACTAATTTACGTCCAATTTCACAGGGAAGTCCCCCGGGTCTTCTATTATGTCAACTCTATGCAACCGATATTCATACGTCGAGAGAGGCAAGACAATGGAAACGTTCGCACATGATATTGCATTATTAGAATTCGATGGAAATCCGGTAATTGCATCACGGTAGCTCGAAGATGAGCTCCATTTCCTCGAAACATGGCCCAAGAAATTGCGAATCTGATTAAGCGAAATGAAATCAGAGCATGTTCCATTTTCAATAGAAAATTCATATTTGACAAGTAAAAGTAAGTTTACGGGAATAGGAAGTGCACGTTCTCTGCTATCATTATTGAGTTATTTGAAAACTACATTAATTTCCAGCTAAAATTGAGACAATTCCCTGGATCAAATCTGGAGACGTCGGAAGTACTGGAGAAAAAAAGTCGCCGATGAAAGTGTGTACGCGTTTGAGCTTGGGTATGGGAGGACAATCCTAGTATATATATATATTTATATAGATATATACAAGGCGGAAGAGAAAGAATGCGAGCGGAAAGATAAGGGTGAAGGGAAATAAACAATGGGCGTCGTGTGCGTCTGAAGGGAAAGCCGGTAATTAGAGGAAATGGTGCAGCGGTAAAGTGTTGAATCTCAAGGGTATTTGGTATCAGAAATGAATCGGTTTTATGAAGACGATGTATAGCCCAGACGTCAGTTACAAAGCAATCTTCTTAATAACTCGGATGGGGGGGCGGTGAACAAAGCGGTACAAATTCGGTTCGCGACGTTCTGAATCGACCCATCGATTTCAATTTCGAGAAAAATTAGCTCCATTCCGGTGAGTACAGATCGCGGTGGTAGGATAGAAACGAATACCGGTATTTTTGAAAAAAAAAAAAAAAAAACTTGTGTTGAAATATGGAAGACACTTCAGAGCTATCCGAATTTCCAGATGCTAGATGAACATCTCGCAAATCTTCAAACATTACGTTTTATTTTCCTTATAAATTTCGATCTACTAAATTATTAAATCATATCTGCCGGATAATTTAACAAAATGAATGTTGCGTTATTATGATTATCTTTTAAAATATATTGGATTAACATGCAAATAAATAAATTATAAAAATTGTAATTAATATGTGTATGTTATGTAAGTATACTGTCGAGTTTTGATAGTGAAGACAGTTATACCGGTAACTAATTTACTTAATGTCCTTTTAGCGATAGATTGTAAAGGGGGATGAAATTAGATTCTGTCTCTCGGAGATGACACGTGGCTGGTGACGGTAACTAGTGTAAGTTTGTTGGATGTGCATCGCGACGTGTTTTCTTGAAAGAACAGGAGGAATGTGCGCTGCGCCGTCTGCTAAGATTTATTATGAGACAAATGCCATAAGATCGTACCCCCGGTGGATGAGGAGGAGTGTTCCTTATTTACTTGGTTTTCGCCTATTTTTATGATTCCGGTCCCGCAGACACGTGCCTCTCCGATGATTTACGAGGGTCGTGAGCCATGGGCAAAATCGCGCCGCGACGCCGCAATTATTTTCTCGCGTCCTTCGCCTTTCACCCTACGACAACACTCGCACGAAGATCCGTCTAAACCTAAGCAAACGAAATGATTGTGTAACATTGTTCACGCATGACTCTGACTTTAGTTGCAGATCGATGCCGTCTGAATTCGGGACACGCCCGAGCACCAGATAGCGAGACCAGAAGCCGTTTAGTCACTAGCAGACCTCATCCCCGAAACCAAGTTTCCATCCTGCTTCATCAAACTACAAGCTTAAAATGTACTTTCGTACATCCCTCGCCGTTCACCCCTTGCAGTCGGAACTTCTTGAGTTCCTCTGGCTTTCCGGAAATGGTTATAAGTATAATTAGATCAATCGGCGTACACCTGTCCCTTCTTCCGTATGGCCTCTGGATGTGCGATGGTAGTCGAGGTCCCATGTCGGTCACTCAACCTCCGTGTCGTGGTCATTGTGTAGGTATAGCCTCGGACCCCTCTTGAGACCTAATCTGATTTATGATCCGTTCTCGAGAAAAACATAAAATTACAGCTCGGAAAAAGGGATTTTACAAATATCCCTTCAGCTATTTATGTAATGTACACCGCGCGCGCTGCGGGCGTCTCGTCTCCCTTTTCATTTTCCCTTTCTTCCATTGAAAAGGTGTTCCATCCACTCGAATAACTTAATTGTTGACACTAAACCTCAAACGCTTCGAGGTAACGCCCGTCCTGCGGATTCTCCCCATTCCGCAACATAAATACAACGCTTAAATATTTATGGAGCTGCTCCTCCGCACTAGACGTTTTCCACTCAATTACTTATTAATGCGAAGCCTTTCAACATTAACTACTATTTGTCTTTCATATTACCAATTTCCAATTTATAAATATTACATCTCGCATTAAAATAGCAATTACAAGGAGCGCCGTTTTCTCGCGCCTCCATAGACCTTATCTAATATTCCATTCCATCCACTTCACGCACGACCCCAATATACATTCCCAGCACATCCCGACATCATTACTACTAACATCCATACAACGTCACATATGCTTTAACCTTACATTCAGATTTCAACACAAATATCATCTGCATCATCAAGTTGATGTTATTTAAATACAACACTACACTAGGAAAGTAAATAGTAAATATATTCAGTTCTGAGCCCCATTTTGTATTTGATATGCCTATGAAATTGGAAACATTTGCTGAAGGATCATTACAATATTAGGATCATATGTAAATCCAGTAATTGCATCGCAGCATGTGCTTAATCTCTTGAAAGCATGGATCAAGAATTTGGAGTGAGCTAGAACTAAATAAGCTTAAGTTATTTTCATCACCGTCAAGTTTTCTTCTATTAATATTCTAAATTGTTTTTATTATAAAAATTAGAATAATTCAGTAATTTACATTTTCAAGAAATGTTGGTCTCTCTAGAAATAATTCTGTATTTTCAATTAATTATCCTACAAAATGTTAATGGTTAATGATAGTAATAGAATTTGTGTTGATTTAGTAATTGAATTGAAAATATAAATGAGTGTGAATGTTTTAATGTCATTGTGCGTGATTTTGATGGAAGGCAAACTGTGAATTGCATGGGTCTAATTAAGACTGCAATCGCTGTTGAAAAGACTTCGATCGGAGCTGAAAGGAATGGCCGTAAGTAAGAAAACTTCTTTACGGAGTAGAGTTGATCAGCAGCAACGCCTGCGGGCATCGAATAGCACAATCGCGAAAGGACGTCGGAATCGATGGATCCAATTGGAATCTAATGTGAAACGACGTCGGGAAGATCGCATTTCAATCCAATTGGAGCCGTTTGGTCACAGACTATCCGTTGTACTTACAGCAAACGATGGCAAAGTAATTTTTATCTTGTGGCTTAAAAATAACATCGGGAATGCTATATTTTTTTTCTTCATCTTCTTCATCATCAATATTTGTTTTGCTCTGTTTTTGTGCATTGAAAAGAATAGATAGTTGCTATTTGTAAAAGCGTTCGGGAAT